TCACAGAACTGACCAAGAAAGATATCGAGTTCGTCTGGGGACCAGAACAACAACAAGCCTTAGACACACTCAAGGCAGGTATTTGTGAACATGCCATGCTACTCTACCCTGATTTTTCTCTTCCTTTCATCCTGGAAACAGATGCATGTAACAAGGGTCTAGGTGCGTGCCTAACTCAAGAAATCGATGGAAAGGAGAAAGCCATTTCGTTCAGTGGACGAGCTTTGACTCCCACAGAAGCAAAATACGCCACCATTGACCTAGAACTACTCGCCATTGTGTACGGAGTCAAGAAATTCAGACACTACCTGGAGGTATCCGAATTCATCATCAGAACAGATCACGCTCCCTTGAAATTTCTGATCAATACAAAGCAATTGAGCGACTCCAAAAGAGCGAGATGGATATTGTTTTTGTCACATTTTAGATACACATTAGAGGTCAGGAGCGGTAAATTAAATGCGAATGCAGATTTTGCCTCCAGAGTAGAACACACTCCAGTGCAGGATTCAGATCTACAGCAGGAACACCACGAAGAGATACGTAGAATGGTAATGCCAGAATGTCAACCACAAATTCACGCTGCGATAGGGAAAACCCCACTATCCCTAGATAATTTACCCTTCCAGCCTTCCGGCCCAATATCAAAATTGCAGCCAGAAGATTTGAAATTCTTCGATCCACTAGCTAGGTACACAGACCAACAGGAAACGTCAACACAAGCAAACACACCCACGCTAGAAGACCTGTGGGACACGTACGAAACCGACCCCGACTCAACAAAACAGTATCATACCCAAAGTCACTCAGCCAAACAAACTACGGATGTTGATATGGACCAAACAACTTCAGAAGTATTGAACCCCATACCGAGCGATATTATCATGGAAACCACAGACACAGAGGCCACAGCAAACCCCGTTCACAAAATTACTACGGATAGGCCCACGCAAAGAACGACAAATCTGAATAACCATTCGACGGCTTCGACAAGTGAAACCGCTAACGAACAGGGAACTCCACCCGCGCCTGACGAACAGCAAGATGAAATGGCAAATATCCAGGAAACTGACACGGTAAATAGCCAAGCAGACCCGTACACCAATACACCCGAGATGGAGGAATTAAGGCAGCTACAACTCACCGACCCTTTCTGTAGCCCATTAATTCAATATTTACATACAAATGTACTACCAGATAACAACAGCGAGGCCAGAAAATTGTTGTTACAGGCAGATAGCTTCCTTATGATTGACAACGTCCTGTATCACAAACATTACGACCATCACTCCCACGCCATGATAAATAGGCTAGTTATACCCAATTGTCTAGTTGACACCATTCTCTTCGCATCCCATGATCAGATTCTTAGCGGACATCTAGGCATCCTTAAAACAAAAGCAAGGGTATTACAAAAGTATTACTGGCCGAAACAATCACAAGATGTTGAAAATTGGGTGAAATCATGCGTACCATGTAATTCACGCAGAATTCGGAGAAAACACGAACAACCAATTCAGCCTATTCCAGCGCCATCGGCAGTCTGGGAAATGATTAGTATTGACACATTAGGGCCCCTGACAACAACACATGACAAAAACAGGTTCATTATATGTATCTCTGATCATTTATCCAAATACTCCATAGCACTAGCAACCCCAGATCAACAGGCTGCAACAGTGGCGACATTACTCTTTCACCGAGTAATATGTATTTTTGGCTGCCCAGGGGTCATAATATCCGACAACGGGACTAATTACGTTAGTCAACTCGTCCAAGAGCTATGCAAAATGTTCCTCATTGATAAAAGACAAACTCTGCCGTATAACCCCCGTGCAAACGGCCTCATTGAAGCAGGGAACAAAATCCTCGCGAAAATGCTCTCCATATATGTGTCACAACACCACAAAGATTGGGATCTAATCTGTATATTGATATCACATTAATTTACAACGAAATAAAGAGATAGAAATTATTTATTGATTTAAATCCTGAGTTGGTTGATAAGTATTTCGAGTAGGAAACAAGATTGTAATCACTAAAGAGTGATTACAACACTAGGAAGTGCCCTTTGAGACCTCCAACTAAAAATAGGTTGAAAACATTAGAGACACAAATAACCAAAACTTATCAAAATCAAGTCTGAAAGTGCACGATTATGCTACCTTGGTTTTGTGAAATCTATAATAAATATTGCAATTCCATTTCGCAAATATCGTCTGCTAAAATTAAAATATTAGGGTTCGATCAAGCTGGATAATGTGGCGCATATTATTCCAGGATGTTCACAATAGAAGAGGTTTACGCTTATTCAGAGACAGGAGTCAGCCGTTAGAGATGACTGACGATGAGATATTAAACAGATATCGCATGCCGAGGCCACTCATTCTTGAGTTGATTAATATATTAGATGGGGATCTAGCGTCAAGAACAAGGAATCCTCAGGCAATTTCATGTCAGCTAAAAGTATTCATTTCATTACGATTTTATGCTACAGGTTGTATGCAAATGATAAATGGAGATATATTCGGGGTATCCCAACCTACTGTTTCGAACATTGTTGCTGAGGTATCGGCGGTTTTCTCTAGGTAGGCTATATCAGTCGGACTAATTACAAAGACACCGTGTCTTGTTTTCAAGATGGGCTGCCTTCCAGTGACAGATCTAGATTTTCGCAAGATATATATAGGTTATGTAGTGGGAGGGATTCAATATGGGTTTTATTATGATGGACAATATGATATTTACCGAGAGCCCGGAGGGTCAGAATGAAATACCAAATTGTCCCTCACAATATGTGAAATATCAAATTGTCATGAGGAATAAACCCATATTTAATCCCGACCAGTAAATTAGCTTTTTATTCCATGATATTCATAACTGTCTTCATAAAATCATTAGTTAGATTTTTCTATGAAAAAATGGTATATTTAATCAAGAAAATATGACTTAGCTTTATGATATTTTTAAATATAAAAAAATTATTGTACATGTGTAACATAAACACATCAACATCAAAACATTCAGCAATACGTAAGCATTTTTGTCTGTGTCAGAGCGATGATGATAAAACTGGAATTCGTTTTTCACATAAGAACATCATTTTAGCATGCTATATCGACCCAACTGATTGAAAGAGGAAGCCTTGTTTGGCAAAAATTTTCAATACGATTTTTCTCAATATCAAAAATATTCCCGGTTATTCATCGGGAATTAGTAGTATCATGGGATAAATAGAGATTATCATATATGAGGTTCAGGATATTGAACTATAGGATGATCTGTTTATACCATACCAATCTTGGTCATTTTGTTCACGCTGTTCAATTGGCCGGAGTTCAGAAAATGTCCAACCAACCGTAAGAATTCATTTAGAATAGCCTGATTTTCAGATATTCATCCACATTTATTTCTGAAATCCTTGTTTAACAGGGATACGCTCATTTCCTTCCTTCAAACAGATCGCAATTGTCTGCCTTTTCTCCATTATCGTTTACAGTAATTATGCTCATGTTACAAAAATGAACCAATATGCGAACGGCGATTATGACGTCAGCGGGCAGATATACTATATCTGCCCGCTCAGAGCGGGACGTATAGCTATATCTGACCGCTGATGAAAATATATAGAGGTTATTTAATGGGAGGTTTTTGATACAGGGTATATCTGAGGGAAATACAATATATCAACCCGAGGGACCGTAGGGACCGAGGGTTGATATATTGTATTTACCGAGGGATATACCCTGTATCAAAAATCGAGCATTTAATAACTGATTTATTCTATACTTAGTAGATTGTTAGGAATAATAGCAAAGTCCCCTGGCTCAGTAGATATATATGTCTCCCGCTCACGTCACATATCAGTTATATTCCCGCATGTTATATACCTATAACACTACTAAGTATGGAATAAAAGTTTGTATTACATACCTAGCGAAGCATTTGTATGGAAGTCAATGGGAAAGTTAGCGAGCTATATCCACCGATATTACCCGATTACCCCGATATAGCCCGCTTACCTCGTTTTGATATTAGATTTCTTTAATAACCATGATAATATCATGACGTCACGTCATTGATACAAAGTAACCATGGGAACAAAGGCATGTAATACATCAGTTATGTCACTATGACGTGAAATATGCCTTCGTTCTTGCCCAAATATAGAGCCTCCCAAGGTCGGCCTATATTGGGAGAACTCAGGCATATTTCACGTCATAGTGACATAACCTCTAATTACAAACCAGCTTTATGTATGTACCTATAACACGTCCAAGTATGGGATTGACACATCCGCACTGGCGTAAACATACATAGACATTAAAAAATCGATAAATCTATTTTGAGCTCTAAGTTTAAATTTCCCGCGTTTCCAATTTATTTGCGATTAGCATACTGTTGCGTCTGCGTTGCGTCTGCGTTTGCGTGAAGCGCGTAATACGACGCAAACCATGATTTGCGCTTGCGAATAATGTTGATTCGCAAGCGCAACGCAAATCGCAACGCTAATTTAGCGCTGACCGGATAATGAGGGCTCAGGACTCGTATAGATGGCAGTTAACTACTAGGTTGTTTTTCACATCTGGCCCATTGGTTTGTGTGTAAATATTACACTACATATATCAATTAAATATCATATTTTCCATCATTATTATTTACAAATATGTTTTAAGATTCAAAATCAAAAGGTTTGGGTTATTTTCATTTAAATTTATCTTGGAGATTTCTCCGCTCAAATAAATGCGATTAGTCATTTGGTGATTGACGTCATTTGATTTTTCGGCAATGGAATGGCTTGGAAAAAGAGGGGGGGGGGGTCGAAGATGACATCGTCTATTATGTAAATCTGTATTGAGATAACCTACCGTTTGTGGGAATTAGCCTATAACTTATATCGTTAGCTCTCGATCTTTAGTCATTTTTGCAAACTATCTTATTTTAGCCATAATAGCGAGGCGTGCACAGGAAAGCCACTTCAACATGTATAAATGAGAAAAACTCGAGATTACCGCCAATTATTTATTTCAAATCACCTTTTTACACGTATATCATCGATGCTACACGATTTAGTCTGTTATATTTGACCAATGTCTGATTAAATTAAACTTATGTACCAATGTCCTCTGCATTGCACTTATTACAAATTAAATGAAAAAAGAAATGTCAAAATAAAAGTACCAACAACCGAGTAATTATATATCGACACGACCTCATGTCTCGACTAGTCACAGAGACGCCGTACGATTAATGTCTAGTGTCTCATATATGTATAATGACGTCATAGGTCCACTGTCTAGTGTCTCCTGAGATGTACTGTGACGGGAACTTTGGCGTGGTGGAGGACATAGTCGGAGACGCTGCCAAGAATTGTGCGGCGTATGGCGCCCATTCCCCGGGAGCCAATGACGATGTGGTCCACTCCCTCGCTCTCTGCCACCTGACAGATAGCGTCCCCTGCCCCTGCTACCTGCTGCTGTACGTGGACCTTATGTTTCACCTGAAACACAGAATTGACTTGGTCAAAACATGTTCTTTAAAACAATTTAATAGAGGGCCCACGCATACAAACTAATCGCATAGCTGACGTCATTATATTTTTCTGCGTGCGCCTTGAAGTTCACGTTCACGCTCTCTTGAATACCTGTAGTTTGACCTCTCTGATTAATAAAATTGACGTAGTTCAATTCCAAGTTTTATTTCTCTTCATATATTTAAAATACAATTGCAATACACTTGCCAAATCAACAAACAAACAAGGAAAGGCTAAGCATACCTTGAGATCCTGGAGGCGTTTCTGGAAATGTTTGATTAGCTCATCGGTGGCCTCTTTATGCTCTTGGACTACCCTCTCCCAGTCGCCGCCAGAAATAGCCATTCCTGAACAAACGGTAAAAAGTAAAGAGTATCGTTTTTGGATATGGGTCGGGTCCGCGAAAATGTAAGTTAGCTGTAACTTTGAAGTTTTTTTTACATCAGTGATGAAGTTATGATATCTTCCACTCTGCTTAAAACAGTTCAACTGATAGAATAATGAAAGGTGCCATCTATGTTAATATGGGAAATCGAATCGTGTAATTTTAAACAAATAGATAAAGTTTGCAACTTTCAGCCCAGCCCCAAGGCACCATGAGAATAAAGGTTCGACTCATTTTCGGTCAGAGCATATCTACGTAAGCAATGTGCAGTCATAACTTTTGATGCCGCTTCGGCGTCGATTTGGTGCCGCTTCGACGGTGTACATGTGGTGCTAAAACGGATACCAGATTTTGACACCAGGTGGGCGAAAAACATTAGCTATTGACAGGACATAGAATTCCAACACCAAATCTCGGTCCAGTTTTGAAAAATAGAATTGCCCAAATTGCCCAATAGAATTGCCCAAATGTTTATGACGAAACGGCACGAAATATTATATCGAAAGTTTATAATAAATTAAATACTTACTAGTATATACTTAAACTTAAAAGCTTATGTTGTATTTGTCTGAACAAAACACATGATTACTAATTATCTTAATAACAAGCAATCAATATTAAAGTGTAAAGATTCATTTTTCATTAAGGTGCGCCGGTGCGGGGTTATGTCCGAGAGGTATCTTGAAATTATTGCTTGATATAATCTATCAAATGACCCTAGATGAAGAAATTCATCCCCGAATAACCCAACTGGTATTATTTGAAAAATATTATTGATACAGTATAGACGGATCATATTGTCAAATTATATCAAAAACTTTTGAATACAATATTTTTAGAGGACAAAACGAAATTTGAACTCGTACTCATTTTGCAGAAGCATGGGGGATTTGAAGCGAATTGAGAGCAAATTCGAAAATTGTCTCATCTATATCCATCTTTATCCTTATTTTTCCTTAAAATATTTAACAAAAAGTGAGACGAAATAACCAAGTAATGCGTGAACTTAGTAAACATATAATTGTTCAGAAAATTATTAAAAATACGATATTATTGTTTAAAGCCGATGCAGGGCCATTGGACTGCACCCCAAATAAGTTTGCAATTTGGGGGTGGGGCTGTTAAACTGTAATATAGTATATATAGGCAGAGGGTAGTTTATAACTAGACTCTGCGAACGGGGTACTAAATTAAGCAAATAACACACAAGTAAGCATATGGGTGAGTCAAACGTACCGGGTTTGTTTGACTCTTGCTCTTTGGTTTCTGGAGTTTGATCCTGGGGCTTGGTGCTGCATGCTAAGCTGTACAAGGTTTCTGTGGAATTCAGTTGAAGGAAAATATGTTATTCAGTTTAGGCTTGAGAGTTTAGGCTTTGAGATTGTTTACATGTTTATGCCACATCATGAGAAGCCAACCAACTTATTGTTTATGATCCATTGATTGTGTTGTCATGACGACAAATCAACCATGTGTTGACAGCAAACAACAATGATAACCATGGCAACACAAAAAGCCTAGAGATAGATCTATATTGTTTGGATTGGAAATAAATCTTTAATTGTATTACCATGACAACGCGCCGGATAACTCAATTGTGAATGCATTTGAATCATTTGATCATATCACCATGACAACAGACCAAACAACATAAAACTAGAATACTTGTGAATGTTACCACTCACCGCGACAACGAAATAATAAATGAACACTTACCATAACAACGAATCAGAAAAGCCAAGTGTGAATCATTTGATTGTCTTAGAATGGCAACAAACCAGACAAAAAATAAAGTGAATAAATAATCATTTTTACTTAATAAAGGAATCCAAAATGCAACCAATTGTAAAATGACGTAAAAAATGACTTATCTGAATGCATGGATATTCATATTTTGACAATCATCAGTTAAGATTAATCCACTAGTTAATACATTGAGAAGTGAAATCGTGCGTCAAGCTTGAATGTTCGCAAATAAAAAGTACACAATAAGCATCAATATATTCTCATTTTGTTAGGGCTAGGATTTTATTAGAATTTAGAACTTTTTGTATCAACGTGATATTGACTGCATAGTCTTGCTTAAAAGACCCTGTACTCCCCCCCCCCCCTTATTCTTCTCTCTGTATATTGCCAGGTAAATATAGTGAAGGTGACGGGGGGGGGTGGATACAGTCTTTGAGCAAGACTATTGACTGCATAGCATGCAGTACAATTACACGCATGTATAGTATTAGTAAATAGCATGGCCATGGACTTTTCAACATTTTTGAGCTTTTTACTCTGCAAATTGCAATCTAATAATCTAACTTCAACTTTTCGATATTCAGTTATTGTGTTTTGTGAACTTCAAGTTTATGATGTGAATCTCCTTTTCAATGCTAGCCCATGTTTCAAGTGACTATGCGCTAAACTGCAACTTTAACCGATTTAATTTAATCAATGTCTCACCTGTGTCGAATGTATAATACGGGAAGTTGGGCTGCTCTGGGCAGTGGGCTAGAATAATCTCCGTATCTTCTTTGTGGATATTCTCAAAGTACCCTGCAATCATGTATGAAACGTGCAAATGATTATTGTAATGCCGTTATACGGTTTCAATGACATAAACGTACTACACTAAAACCTGTGTATATTGAACATTTTTTTGCCGAGAAAAAATGTTCAATGGTGGTAGGTGTTCACTACAGAGAGGGTGATTTATACAGAAGTCAGTGGACTATGTGTGGAGGAAGGATGTCCATTAGATACAGGTGCTCACTAAAGAGAGGTGTTCACTAAGACAGGTTTTACTGTATGTACTTATACCCTGAGGGTCACATACTCCGAACGCAGGGCTCTCAGACATCATCCACTGCGTCCTTCTCCCCGAGGTACGGTTGAGTTGTAGAGGCCCGTGGTTTGGAGAATGTGAGGGACAGAGCCTAGTTCATGGTATATGGAACTCTATTTTAAAGGAATAAAATTATAAAAGAAAAGGTACAGACATACAATCATGCATTTATAAAATTAGCCCAAGTGTTATTAACATTAGCCACATTTAGTGTAAAAATGGCCACTCGTTACTCGTTAGACATAATCTGTTAATAATGGAGCTCCTGACAATGAGATCATATGTTTTATAATAATCATGATAAAATGATGAAAATGATACCCATTTTTCAAATGGAAAATAACAAAAATTAAGTTTATTTAATAACGAGGGCCCGAGGATCCGTTAGATTTTGCATCATCCAAGGTTTGCTATATCAGTGAATTCCAGGTTCATGGACAATATTGATTGCAATTAATAAAGGTTATCACTGATGTGTTCCGAGTTGTTAACGTGTAGTCATATAACGGTAAATTAAAGCGACTGTTTCTGTCTGCAGCAGATGCAGAACCAACAATTGGTTATCGCATTCTTTTTATTTCAATAATATTATTGATCTAATTTACAGATCGATATTTTTATTGGGTGTGTGCTATGAGTAAACCGAGTAGAATGTTGATACTGGTATACGATTCTACGACTGAATGTAGGACCCGGGAGGATAACTAAAGCCAGACACAGAATCAAAGAAGTGGGGGGGGGGGCTGATCCAGGGAGGCCCATGCCCTCCCCCCCTCCCCCCAGAATGGGCCAAGAAAAATGTTGTAGGACCTCAATTAGTGGGCCTTTATGGGCATTACTTGGCCTTTTTGCATTGTTTTCAAATTGTAGGCGAATTTATCAAAAATGGGCCTTTAATTTTCAAAAAGTGGGCCCAATTTGGGGTTTTAGGGCCCCAAATGCGCAGCCATTGTAAGCTTACGCCGTCCAATACTGGACCTTCACTCATCGGTTTAGCCTACATTTCCTACGTTAGTAGAGGATCTGAGAATGCGGGAGGCCGGGACAACATCAACATCCTCTGAGATTATGGGGACCCCATTATAATCCTCTTAGATTATGGGACCCCATTATAATCCTCTGAGATTATGGGGACCCCATTATAATCCTCTGAGATTATGGGGGCCGCATTATAATACCATCCATGATCCACCCAAGTCCCTTCATGACCCATCCCCACATAATTTCCCACCGCCCCCTCCCTCTCCCCAAAAACTCTCACTTACATGAGAAAGCTTCCTCAGATTGGGGCGAGGCATCAACTGCTATCAGAACCCTTCTGAGACGAGTATCTGCTGATTCTTCAATTGTGGCCATTTTATAGCTTGTGGCTGAACTTCATATGACTGCGTTCACTTTCTCTCAATACCACTCGCTGTTGCACTGCTATTCCCTGGAGTCGTACTTCAATATTAGAGATGATTAATTTCAGGATATAATATACAAAGTCCTCAGAAGCAGCCGGATTGACGTCCTGTTATCACAGCGTACAATTTACTTTCAGTACACAGCTAGACTCAACTAGATTGTATTTGTACATGTGACTACTGACTAAGTTGTTTACAATTTGTTGTATTGATTGTGTTTTATAGCTACATGCTACATGCAGCACAATGACATTCAATTACAAATACAGATATGACCTGTACTTTAATACTCTCGTTGGGATCTAATGCTAAATGTAAGGGGTTCTAAGGCCCCCTGCATCTTTAAAAGGCCGCGTTTGTACGGACGTTCCGATGAAGAGGACATTATTACAGATCATGATCTGTTTCTACTATAACTTTAGAGAGCATCTCATTTTTCACGAATAATCTGGTTTTGTCTTTTGAAATATATTGCCCTTTGTTTACATGATTATTTTGGAGAATGTAGGCCTAATACACAGCAAATAAAAATAATATTGCCTAAATCAACCTTTCCGTGGACTAATGGGGGGGGGGGGGGGGGATAGTAGTCCCAAGATCTTCTCTGGGCTGCAAGTTCAATATAAAAGCAGTCAAGGCTCGAGTTCGATCAATTAGGTGAGCATGGCCACTACTTGTCATTTTAATTGATGTCTTAATATTTTCTTTGTTTGTTTTCATCTACAGTGTTTGCAACTGACTATTTTAAGGTCATGACCTGACCTTAGTTAAGACTTCTGATAATGTTATCAATACAGCTGTGGGGTCAATATCCTTCATGTAGATGAACAACATTGAACCGGTGGCACTTGAATTTGAACACTTGTGGCTTGTTTTTTGTTGTGTAAGAATGCAGTCTTTTGAGGTCAGAGTAGGATAATTAGGAGAAGATCAAATCTTTGGAGGATGCTTAGTCATGTTAGTTCTGACAGTTTTGAAAATTGGAAAATTGGCTGAAAAATATCAATATTCGATAAAGACCCAGCGAGCAATTGGACTTCTTGATCCTGTGCCTCTAATAAGGCTATAGGGCTGTACCTGGCCATTTCTGTAATTCTATGTCTTCCGGCCTTCTTTGGTGCGTCTGCGTGGTCACCACCCTCCCTTTGGTCCTAATTATGTAATGATTCAAGCGTACAGTAAAACCTGTCATATATCCAAACCCCGGGATCCGAACACCTTTCTTATTTGAACACCTCTCAATGTAAACACTTTTCCGGTCTAACGTATGCCATATATCAAGTTAAAGAACTATGGACTTGCGAACACCTGCCGAACCGAACACTTTTGGTAGACTTAATTGTCGTCAATGGCGTTCGACTTTGACAGACACTGTACTTCTCAATTGTGTATCTGAAAACTATCTTTGGTCTGCATTTATCGTTTAAACTCATTAGATCTATCTTGGCTTATTAATATATTTATCTTAGGGCTGTTTGATAGATGGTTACCATTTAAAACGTCATTTAAAATAGTAATAAGATAGAATGATGGTAAAAACTTTCGATGATTATAAAATATAAATCTTTGGTTAAAACTTTCCTTGTATTTCTATCTTGCTGACATTTTCTCCAAAGTGCGCATGCGTATAAAAATCATCCTGTAAAAATCACATTGCTATAAAAATCATACATTTTATCCAGTTTCTGAACGGTTTAGGAGGTGCAGCGCAACAAGATGTCGGAGAACAAGACCGTTATGATACCAGTCGATGCCTCACATCACGCAGAACAGGCATTTGATTGTAAGTTTTGACATTTTCTATCATTTTAGCAAAAGTAACCATAATGATCTCTTTTTGTTGAGTGGTGAACAGATATTGAGGTATCATCCCAGAACAGGGGGGGGGAGATTTCCCAAAGATGCCCTATCATATTAGCACGTTCGAAAACAAATTTTATAAACAGGCCTCAATTTGCCGTTAAAATGGATCTCCAATTGTTCACTGTAGTTTTATGAGTATTCTCTACAAGTATGGATCGAGTAACTTCAATAGTATTACCGTACATGGCGTAGAATAATGGAAATAGCGTCATGAATCCCGGGACAATGAATCTGGGATCCAAGTACGTCATTTAATGGTCGAAAATCAAAATATTGACAAATTTATAACCTAAAAGGCCGAAAGATTATGCGGCAAATATTGAAACGGGGGTTGTCAACAGATTGTATTAGCTTTGATCTCTTAGAATCCGTTGAATCCTAAGCGATTGGAGTTGTTTAGATCACTTAACGAATGATATGAAATGATGAGGATTTGAGTTTTTTCAAAGTTTATAATGGCGGCCAATGGGGGATTTAAGCAAAATATCCCAAAAATTAAATCATTAAAAGGCCGAAAGATCTGTGGATGGATTTTGCTGTTTTATATATCAAAATGAACACTTCGTTGGGTCTAACAAGGATCCGTTGAATCCTAAGAAAATAAATGATTTGCTAAAAAGTTATTAAGATTTTAAATTTTGATGAAGACTGCTCTCCATTGAAATCTTTGGACCATGAAATGTCGATTTACGCGCATGCGTTGTGACGTTATTTCCATTATTCTACGCCATGGGTTTGAAATGATGATGTTGAACTGATGTTAACGCCAATTTAACTTTGCGCATGCGCAGCACTGAGAGAGCACATGCTAATGTTTGTTCACGTGATTGAATCCTGCAATTTGATTGGAGATGATGCAAGAGATGATGTAATGGGGAATCCCCGAATACGATAGAATATGAAAGAATTATGGGAGCTACTCACTCCTCCTGATCCCAGAATGTACACTGCTCATTGGCCGACATACCACACTCAATAAACTGTACACTCACAGCACACTGTATACTCACAACACAATATACAGCCAGTACACGTGACACAACTTTGTACTCACTGACACTCTGCACACTGCACTAGGCATGCACTTATCACATACTCACTCCACATTGTACACTCACTACATTGTACACTTATCACATCATACATTTTCACTCGGCACTGTACACTCACTACATTGAACACTTATCACATCATACATATCCACTTAGCACTGTACACTCACTACACTGTGCACTTATCACATCATATAATAGTGTAGTGAGTGCACTACACTTATAACACATTTTATACTCACTACGCAATGTACACTCACTACACTACTCACTAATCACATCATATATATTCACTTGGCACTGTGCACTCACTACACTATGCACTTATCACATTATATATATTCACTTGGCACTGTGCACTCACTACACTATGCACTTATCACATCATATATATTCACTTGGCACTGTACACTCACTACACTATGCACTTATCACATCATATATATTCACTTGGCACTGTACACTCACTACACTATGCACTTATCACATCATATATATTCACTTGGCACTGTACACTCACTACACTATGCACTTATCACATCATATATATTCACTTGGCACTGTACACTCACTACATTATGCACTTATCACATCATATATATTCACTTGGCACTGTACACTCACTACACTATGCACTTATCAGATCATATATATTCACTTGGCACTGTACACTCACTACACTATGCACTTATCAGATCATATATATTCACTTGGCACTGTACACTCACTACACTATGCACTTATCACATCATATATATTCACTTGGCACTGTACACTCACTACATTATGCACTTATCACATCATATATATTCACTTGGCACTGTACACTCACTTCATTATGCACTTATCACATCATATATATTCACTTGGCACTGTACACACACTACATTATGCACTTATCACATCATATGATATAACTTGGCCCTGTGTGTACACTCACTACACTATGCACTTTCGCCACAAACACTGTACACTTACAGCAAACTGTACATTCACCACACACTTTACAAACAACAAACTGTACATCCACCACACACTGTACACTAACAACAAATTGTACATTTACCACAAACACTGTACACTAACAACAAACTCTACCTTTACGGCTTTACCACACAAACAACAAACTGTACATTCACGACACAAGTGTACACTTAAACTGTACGATACCAACAAACTGTATATTCACTACACGCTGTATACTAACAACAAACTGTACATTTACCACAAACACTGTACACTAAAAACAAACTGTACATTCACTCACTCATTTTACACTAACTACAAACTGAACATTGATCACACACTATACACAAACAACAAACTGTACATTCACGACACAAGTGTACACTTAAACTGTAATACCAACAAACTGTATATTCACTACACACTGTACACTAACAACAAACTGTACATTCACAGAAAATTAGAGGATAAACATCTGAAAACTGACGTGACATTACTCAAGTTTTTTCCATATTTGGCATTATTGTTTGTGAAATGATATTCATGTTCAATCATTACAGAAGCAATATCGCAGAGAGCTCACTAACTGACTAAAGACCTGATATTCAATTTCTTTTTAATTTCACCGTTTCCTACTAGGCAAAAAATGTGAGTGACTAGGCCTGCTGTATTACAAATATTAAGCCTGATTGTCATTTTTCTGTGGTTCTTCACTTCAAAATACTCAGGTAATACAAGCAGTCTACCTGATAAAAATTCTATATTTACTAACCACAGATTAAATGTATGTTTAATGGTAACAATATCTGACAAAGCCTGTTCATTTCAACATCTCAAGATCGCATCTTTCCCCTTTCTTTCCTCAGTTTAGAACTAATAATATTTCTCATCTTTTTGAATCATTCAATTTTTCAAACACCAGTTCCCTTGTCCACTTTTAAGAATAGTCCGCTAAACGGGGTCTAAAACAATTAACCTGTGTTGGCCTAATTACTTTTAGTAATCATCTTATAATCAATAGAGACCATCTGGTTGTGTTTTTGAAATTCCATGATGAAATCTGTATTGACAGTTAAGGTGGGTAGAGTGTTGTGGCAATTAAGGTGGACATGGGGTTGTGGCAGATGGCAAATACATGTAAGGTGGGTAGATTGTTGTGGCAATTAAGGTGGATATGGGTTGTGGCAAATTGTAATCAAGGTGGATAGAGTGTTGTACTGTTGTGGCAATTAAGGTGGGTAGAGTGTTGTGGCAATTAAGTTAGGTAGAGTATTGTGGTAATTAAGGAGGGTAGAGTGTTGTACTATTGTAGCAATTTAGGTAGGTACATGTAGCTTGTAGCAATTAAGGTGGTAGACTAAGGTTGTTGTCGCAATTAAGGTTGGTATAGTATTGTGGTAATTAAGGCAGGTAGAGTGTTGTGGCAATTAAGGACGGTAGTGCTGTAGCAATTTAGGTAGGCAGAGTGTTGTGGCTATTAAGGTTGTTAGTGCTGTGGCAATTAAGGTAGTTAGAGTATTGTGAAAAGTAAGGCAGGTAGAGTGTTGTGGCAATTAAGGTGGATAGAAATATGTGGTAATTAAGGTAGGTAGAGTGTTTGTGATAATTAAGGTGAATATAGTGTTGTGGCTATTATAGAAGTTTCATCTGGGTCCAACTGGTTGCAAATGGAGTTGCAACTGGACTTTAAAATCCTTACAAGTCAAGATGCAGCACCCTACTTTTTTTAATTGTAATCAGCACTGATATGCATCAAGGAAGCTTCTGGAAACTGTCAGTTTGTGACCTAATATCATTACAAGCCTGACATTAATCAATAAAGTAAATAATGATTAATGAATTTTAAGGAAATCGGATTTGTTGGGGGTAAAGGTGCAATTAAAGTCCTTCAGTATAGGAATATATCATACTTTGGTCAAGTCCATGTGAAAATGTTATTTTCTCAAAATAATTTCTAAAAAGTTTAAACATGTTGTATCAATTGGTGCTATTTCTCATAGGCCAAGGGAAAAGTAGTAAGACACAGAATCTGGAAAGTATATTGAGCTATCTAATACTACTTTTCCCTTGGCTTTCTGTTTCTATCATGTATAACCAGTTAACTCATTTGTCTTGTAAGGACATTTTTAGAATTAATTTTGACATTTCTTGTAAGGGAACCACTGTATCATCTTGCAGTTTAAGTCTCTTGTCTCTTGAACTCACCCATTTATGTCACCTCTTTTGGATATCTGATTTTTAGCTCACATGTTTATATAAATTACAGTGATCTCCACTGGATTCTTTCTCAAGTGGGTTGCAAAATACTCATTTTCACAATTCAAACCAAAATTGATCAAACAATAATTTTCATGATTTTTCTCATTTTCAAGTGGGTGCAAATGGATTTTCAGGTGGGTGCAAGCCTATTTTCAAAATCTCAGGTACGTAGGTGCTGCGCCCACTTGCTTGAATGCCGGGGAGATCACTGGATTAGCATAGTGATGCCATGGAGATAACATAATGCGTTAACGTTTTCAAAATTAATTAGATTGTAGATACTGGTCCAGATATCATTTTGATTCCAAACTCCAATCTACTTAATAATTCAATTATTTATGATAAGCGCCATCTTAAAATATAGATCCTCAAATTACAATTTTTTCTGCTACATTTACTTGAAAATGTAAAGCCCGTGAATGTTTTTTAAGTACAACAATGAAATTAGGCTTACCCTAACTGGGGATTGAACCTGAGCCCTCTGCATCAAAGGTTAACTTAACGCTGAGCTGTTCTGGTTGTTTTCCATTATTACATTTCAGCGATATTGCATTCTGTCAGTTTTTCAAAGTTTGTGATTGAAAAATAAAAAAAATTCAAATCCGGAAAGAAATTAGGAATTTGGGTTGAATTTATTTGACTTGGTAATTATATATAATACACTGAGTTCCTTTGCTCCGTCCTTGTTCTAACTTTAGATTATTTCATCAGCCCTTGTTTTAAATATACCTCTTTTCATGCTAATTTCACTTATATTTCTCATTTAAGATTCTTAATCTCTGATTTTCGTGCACTTTCACATAATTTAGAGTGTCAACTACATGCCTGTTTGCTTTAATCCTTGCTAATTCCTCTCATTTCACACAATTGCGCTATTTGAAACGTGAACTATGAAGTATTTTACTCAAGGGTTAATTGGACAGGAAAATGAGTATACAGGCTTACTGTTCTAATTTAGGAGATAATGGTGACAATAAATAACACAGATGCGCATAAAGATTTCAATTAATGTGAGGAAATCACCCAGTTTTCCAGCCAATAATGTGCATTTAGGTATAATCAGACTCCATGTATCTTTCGCATTTGTTTGATTTAGCTTCTTAAAAGAGAGCTTTATCTACACTTTTTAAGTTAAAGAGAAACATCAGAACTGGCTGAGTCAACCAGATTTTGTAGTCGATCGGACGATTTTCTAAAATAGGTCATTCCCTTTAAAATCATTACCCAGTATTGACCATCGTTAAACATGTTTTTTTCTGTTTGCTGATTGGTTGAAAAAATGTCAGCTCTGCTGGTTTGAATTAATTTATGGCCCAGGCTGTGACAGCATAGCATCGAGAATGGCGCCACTGAACTGTAAAATTGTCAAAACTTCTGTGCTCAGGGTAGACTCTTTGATATAGAGTCTTACCCAATAAGACAATTATGTGAAGTCTCTTATGTTAGTCTCTCCAAATGTTCAATGATAAAACAAAATAGCATCAACAATTATCAAAATGTTCCTAATGTTATGGAATCAACACATTATCAATGAAAACATTACTTCATGAAATGTAAATAACTATTCAGTTATTTCTCATTACTCAAGGTACAAGTCTGATGCTTTTATAGTTTTCTTTCAAATTCTCTGACTTGTGAATTATATATGTTTTTTTAGTGAAGTTCTTATCAACATGAATGTTTTTTTGTTGATTTATTGTTGAGCAACATGGTTTAAAATACACACTGTAATAGTGTATGTATGCATGATATAGGCCCAAATGGGTTAATAATTGATCTGCGTGATTTTTTATAAAATAATGGCCGGACTTTTTATAGCTTTTGAAGTCCAATATTGTCTTTGTCTCGAACTGATGGGTAGGGTGGTCCTAAAGTGCAAACCAACCCATTTTATGCCAAAATTGATACTTAATATAGCCCCCCCGACTTATCTATAAGTTTAAGTTTTTACTTTATAAGCAGCAATTTGAATGAAAAGAGTTTTATCCACAAATGTTTTGGAAAACAGGCACTAGTTATGAAATGCATATATAGGAATAAAGCCATCCATAACAATAGGATGATATTTAGCACAAGTTGGACAGCTGAGTGCATTTGTACTGACATTCTGTCTAATATGAGGGGAATTTATTTCACCATGTTGAATGCCATTCATTATTTATTCAGATTCAAATATAAGAGAAAAATGTTTTTTTCATAGAATGGGAATAGAGGTCCACGGAAGAACCAACTTGCTATAATTCTTAGCAAAAATTCGTTACTGGAGTGGTCATCCCTAGACAGAGTTCTAGATGGACGCCACAATAATGGTCATTCATCTATTTAGAATAAGAGAATGGCTATGCTGAGATCTGATTTTTTGAATCCAAATTACTAGAGGTGTTACGGATACCCGATTTTGTTCCGATCCGCGGAATTATGCCCTTGGAACGGAACATGGAACACAAATTGAGAATTTCGGTTCGGTTCTGGAACAAGAAAATTTTACCCTTTCACAACTTTTGGCCCTTAAATCGCCACAAAACAGCATTTTTCTTTCAATATTTTGCACCATAAGAGCTTCATTTTTTCACTCCTTCTCATTGAAGAGTTTTGAAAAGCTTTACGCTACCAAATAGACCTAGATGATCAACTTATTTTAATCTTATACACGCAGTCACTCTGTTCTGAACCATTCCGAAATTGTTCCGTTCCGAAGCAAAATGTTCCGAACCGAACCGTTCCGATTTTTTTTTGTTCTGTGACATCTCTACAAATTACTATATCAGCCATTGTCTCTATTTAAATATGCACAACATTTTAGTGCCCAAATGCACCCTGCTACGAGAGCCATCTTTTATCCATATTCTGGTTCATTTTAGGGTATGCAGAATTCATCCACAAACCTACTTTCACAGTCCATGTGTTTCACTGCCATGAGCCACTGGTATCACACCACAGTTTCTTACCAGGGAGAGGTAAGTTGGGTCTAGCACCACAGTTTTGATTTGTAACTGATTCAAGCATTAACCCATATGTAGTTAATTATTTAAATAAAGAAGTAATATTTCTTTATTGTTGCCTTATTTTCAAGCCTACACCCTTCAAATAGCATACTTACTATGCTCCTATTTTGTTAGCGAATCATGATCACTGTAATAAATCATATTTATTTCCATGAATGGTTTGCTCGACTAGTAAGTAACATATTAGAATTTGCATAATTCATTTAAGAATAACGATTGTCTTTCTATCATAATCAAAAATTATATCTATGGTTAGAACGATTTGTCATCTAAAATATTTCCCGTTTTCCCCACTGTTCTATATTGCACATTCCCTCCCCAGTAATCTTCAATATTTATATAATTTCAGAAGGGGTACCAAGACATGAGTTTGAGGAGGACAAGAAGAAGATAGACGACCTCACAAAAAAATATGAGGAAAAACTGGCTAGTAAAAATGTAAGTTAATATTAAATAAATATTTACATTAAATTTACAATATTTACATCCATGAGTTTAGAATCAATGTCTCTAGTCTTGTCACAGTAATGGACGTTTTAATAGATTTAATATCTGTATTACAAAGATAACACTTTTTCCATGCATTTGAAAATATATTGTGAATACATGATACAGCAAAACCTGTGTATAAGTTCAACTTCTGAGCTGTTCCCATGATACTTTCATTAGGGTTAAAATGATTGTTCCACTTTGGAGGTATTCATTTTACAGACAGAAATGTTCCTCTTCACAGAGGTGTTCCTAATTTACAGAGGTGTTCCACTTATAGAGGTGCTCCACTTGCAAAGGTGTTTCACTTAATAGAGGTGTTCTACTTACTTTACAGAGGTGTTCCACTTGGGAGGTGTTCCAATGATAGATTGACTTTACATAGGTCTTCCACTTCCCAGAGGTGTTCCACTTGACAAAGCTGTTCCACTTGACAAAGCTGTTCCACTTTTACAAAGGTGTTCCACTTTTACAAAGGTGTTCCACTTTTACAAAGGTGTTCCACTTGACAAAGCTGTTCCACTTTTACAAAGGTGTTTCACTTTACAGGTTTAATTCCAGATCTAAACTGATGGATAATGTTTCAATATATCAGTTTTAATATATAACATTATCTTTTGTTGCAGATTACAGGAAAGGTGTCGCACAAGATCAAACAACATCCTGGCCACACTATATGTGAGTTTGTCGATGAAATCAAAGCCGATATGATTGTGATGGGTTCAAGGGGTCTTGGTACGATACGTCGTACCATTCTCGGCAGTATCTCGGATTTTGTTCTCCACCACACGCACGTTCCTGTCCTGGTTATACCCAAGAAACATCATTAGAAAATTTAGTGAGTAAACAAACATACATTTTTGTAAACAAACACACATTCTTGTAAACAAACATACACTCTTGCAAACAAACACACATTATTGTAAACAAACATTATGGTGAACAGTCAAATGTTCTTGTAAACAGAAATTAGACAATTATTCTCATTAACAAACATTACAATAAACAATCAAATATTCTTAAAGTAAATGAACAAATAAGTTGTAAACAGACATGATGATAAACAATCAAATATTCTCATAGTAAATGAACAAATAAGTTATAAGTTATGGTAAGTTATACATTATGGTAAACAAACACACATTCTTGTAAACAAACACACACTATTGTAAACAAACATTATGGTGAACAGTCAATTATTCTCATTAACAAACATAACAATGAACAATCAAATATTCTTAAAGTAAATGAACAAATAAGTTGTAAACAAACAATCTGGTGAACAATCAAATATTCTCATAGCAAATGAACAAATAAGTTGTAAACAAACAATCTGGTGAACAATCAAAAATACATGTAAACAAACAAAAGTCAAAGAGTCAAACAAATATTATTTTACTCAAACATTCTTGTTTACCATTATTATGACAAATAAACATTTCAGCAAACAAATACATGTATTATTGTAAAAATGTAACCCATTACAGTATTTTATTTATATGTTTCCAGAGAATATCGAGGATTCATAAAAAGAGACTGAGATTTAGCAGATAATCAGAAATCGGGAACTGAATTGAAAAATGAGCCGAAACACAAAGAATGGAAAAGACATGAAATTGCTATATCGGAGAATGTTACAAATGATTCCATTTAAAAGATATTTTCTGAGTATTCCGAGATACCAGGTGCGCTTAATGAATCAATATGCCAATTTGAATCAATGTGTGAGATTGAAATGAATTCTTTTATGCCAAGATATTCGAGTGCTTCACTTTTAACCAATGAAATTAACCCAGGCATTAGCGAATTAGAGAAACACTAATTGTTTTGAAATGAGAGTAATACTGATTGTTTTGAAATTAGAAAATTTTTATTGTTTGGATCAGTAAATTGTTGATTGTGTATTGAAAGTAGAGATATGTTGATTGTTTTAAAAGTAAGGCATTGTTGATTGTATATTGAAATCAAACAACTGTTTATTGTTTTGCTGATAAACACTGCCGATATACTTTATATTCTTACTCTAACATAAAATTGGATAGCGAAGAAATTGATATGCATATAGACTGATAGATGGAAGACCTGTAGCCAATGTTCAGAAAAGGGGGCGCTCTAATCAGAATTTTCCTGGATGTTCCTATTAGCTAATTTTACCAATAATTTGGCGAAATTTTAGACGATTGTTTAGAAAGTAAAGTAAATCCTGCCCAGAAGTATACCACATATCATATTACTCAAAAATGAAATGTTCATGATGAATTTCCAAACAAGCATTTTTTTCGGAAAATGTCTAGGAGTACCCCCTCTCTGGCTACAGCTTGTATGTACATATTCTTCAGCAGGAAATTGAAAACACAAGACTGACTTATGACTTTTTCATTTCAAATATTTAAGTAAACTTTAATAAGTTATTTTTGATCAGTCAGTGACACAGCTCCCCAAAATATTAAATCCAGATGGGCTAATCCTTAGTGTGTTTACCCAAGTTGGTCTTATTTTTGGAGGCTGTGTACTGGACTGCTATAAACATTAAAACGATATTGCTCCTCTGAACATAGATATTGTTTTTAGGGGTTTAAAGAATCTTTTTTTGCCTGGGAGTAAAATATCAAATGATCTGATTTGAAATTGATAAGATGTGCTTTGACTGAACAGTTTTTCGAGTTGCTCTGGTGTTTTTAGTTTGGCATAAATAATTGATATTTATTTATTTTTACCAGCAACATTATAATAAGTTTTTTATTTGTCAAGAATTAGAAAACCTGATCGCACAACCAGACAGGCGACATTAGTGACATTTTGCTCCTTGGTATTTATACTCTGTTGTATGGCTTTTTTAGATCATGTTACTTATTATACAAGTACAAGTATGTACATTTTACATACCCTAAATTAATTGTTAAAAGGCAGCTTAAGTTTGGAGTAATGTCTCATAAAAAGCAGACCTCAATGAAGATTATATTTCTTTGATTAATCTGGTAATATTATTGTTTCAAAAATTAACAAGTTCATATGAAATTATTTAATCTCAAGAATATTTTGAATGAATTTTGTTCCCAAATTTTAAAGCTCAAATTGAGTTTTTGCAGAGACAGTACAATATACTGATATTTAAACCAAGACATGTTAGAAATTGGATATTTAGATAATTGTCTCTTTTACCAAAAGTGAAAAAATGAAGTTAATTTAATTAGACTAAACCTATGAATTGTACTCAACTTGTAAATAAGAATGACATATTGATATTTAACCTGGCCCTTTATACAATATCTACTCTCATGTTGTCCTCAGTTATCCCGATGATAAACAAAACTTTGAAACAAAACTTTGTTGTTTTTCACCATCTATAAAATAAAATGCCACTTTCCATCTAATATTTACCTTGCCTCCTCCCCCTCCCCCCCTTATAACATTTTATCCAACTACACATTGTCTGTAAAAAATATGTTTTGGGGAATGGGACAAAGGGGGTACAGAACAGGGGTGAGGCTTATATTTTTCTGTCTCATGTCCTAAATTCAGCATTCCATATTTCAGCTATCAGCTATCATGACATCTATCTTTTAGAGCAATGTTTTGTATCTATATCATGTGTCCACTATTAATGGACTTACTATGCATTGCATTTAAGGTGGGACCACTCCTTGACACAAATGCACATTATGCAAACCTGTATATCAATCCTAAATAGCAAGCTGAACCAATTCAATTGATTTGGCTTGGCTTGAGTTTTTCCCCAGTAACATCATGTATTTTGGAAGAGTATACGGTAAAACCTGCATATCTGAACACCTCTCAATATGAACTCTCCCAGTCCAAATGCGTAAACTCCCAGGCCCATTAGTTAACCATATTCATTGGACTCTACTCGCCTTAATACTCTTTTCAGCCAAAGATCTCTAAATCCATTAATTAAACTGTGCCATAATGGTCTTGCAGACTTCCATAGATGGCGCATCACAAGTCAGGTGCCGTGACAGATCTGGCGATTAACAAGGAGACCCCAAAAATATATTTGAAAATTATTGGCTTCTTTTGAAGAATATGGACACAGCTGTTTGTTTATGACTGAGAATAAATCCCGAGAAAAAGTCAATCGTTAAGTCCAAGATGAAAAATTAATTTTGCCCCCCCCCCAGATCTGCCAGTGCATTTGTACATGTAATTTGGTCAATTTGCTTGATAATGAATTTGATACATTGATAACCTAAGTATGTTCATGTGTATGAGTGTTATGCCATCTATTGAATGTCCTCAAGACCTTACAAAGCTTATAACTTTGTGCCATAATGTAGAAATGTAACCACTAGATTTAAATAGAATTTAGCTGTTATTAGTTGATGTAGAAAAGTATCACTATAATAGTATCATAGTTATTTTGAAAAAATGGATGTATCATGACAATGATCATCTTGAGTCTACAAGACAAAAATTTGTGATGAGTGTCTAAATTATATTTCATATTTCAGTTATTGCTTAGCAATCTTAGGTAGATAATTGATTAAAAACCAAAGTTTGAAGTGTACTCAATTTATTCAGAGTACTCAATTTATTCAGAGTACTCAAGTCATTCAATTTACTCTTATCATTCAGAGTACTCAAATTATTCAAAGTACTCGAATCATTCAGAGTACTCAAATTATTTAAAGTACTCAATTCTTTCAGAGTACTCAAACCATGTACTTGAATCATCCATGTCACTCAAACTGCTTCAGATTTACACAGATGTAGCAACAACAGAATTGTATGTACTCAAACATATTATATATACACATATACAGGGTGTCAAATAAGTCCCATCCCCCCTGCTACAGCTAAAACCTTAAGAGACAGTACCTAGTGTTATATACCATTGGAAAGATCATCCAAAGTTATGTTAACTCACCAACTCTCAAGTATTTTGGATGACATTTACTTATATTTTAATGATGTCTTTTATAGTAAACGTGCCCTCCTTTAAGTAGCTTTTTTGCGTCAAAATGACAAGGATATGACCTCAGAAATAAGTAAAAAAGTTCATCTTTTTCGCATTCCACTTGTTACAAAAAGGTTTTCACCACTTTCCTTGCACCTCTATTTTCTACACATCTAACCCTATTCAGAAATTGGTTAAATACATCGCCATAAACATATTTAGTCATCTTTTGGTCCCTTGACCTTTCTTTTACCCGATTCTCAAAATCCTGCCAAATACGCCAAATTGCCATGTTTATAGGCATATGGTCACCTCAATTAATTAAATGTAAAAATTTGTGAGACTGATTGATATGTGTCAAATATATGCCAATCAACGTAACTTTGGAAGACCTTTCCAATGATATATCACACTTGGTACCAAATATCTTGGTTTTGGCTGTAGAGGGGGGGGGGACGGGACTTATTTGACACCCTGTATATATTGTAAGTACAGTAAAACTTGTATTAGTGAACACTTCTTGACTCTTGTATAAAATACCTCTGTAGTAACCACCTACCTACAGTGAACACGTTGTGGCTCCATAGGTGTTCACTACATTTATATACAAGTTTTACTGTACATAATATATTAAGTGACTCTGTTATATTGTACATGTACACACATTGACACATTCTGTTTCTTTTTGTATACTTTATGCTTCACAATAAAGGACTATAGTGCAAACACAACAACTTTTTTATGTTATACAATATTTTTTTTTTGTACAAGGGGCATTCAAAAATAAGATAACTCCCAATGTAGTATGTGTCTATTATTAATTGCAGATACAGTAATACATGTCTAAGTGAACACCTCTCTCTAGTGAACACCTGTCTCTAGTGGACACTCTTCCTCCACACATACTCTACTGACTTCTGTATGAATTGCCCTCTCTGTAGTGAACACCTTCTCAGGGAAAAATGTTCAATATACACAGGTATTACTGTATATGGCATTTTCACACTTTCTGCAGTCCTTAAAACCTTAAGACATAAAAATATTTTAAGGGGCTCTAATTCTCAATCTGAATCTTCCCAAAAATAAGGATATATAAATACCCAATCAATAGACTTGGTTTGACTTAATTATCCCAACGAACGAAGTTCAGTAGGGATATAGTGAAGCCCTCCGTCTGTCCGTCAGTCAGTCAGTCAGTCCGTCCGTCCGTCTGGAAGATAACTCAAATACTAGTAGACGGATTTTCTTCATATTTAGTGGAAAGATGCATATTGGTGAATAGTTTTACGCAAAAAAAATTTTTTCAAGATGGCCACCGCTTTAAAAATGATGGGACTTTTTGGCAAAAATCATAAATTTTTCATTCTAAACCAAAGTAATTAATATTATTGTTTGAAATTTTGGTAGTATATTCACAACATTTATCTATTTCACATATATTCTGTGTTTTTCATCCTGACCCCCAGGGGTTGTGTCAGAAAAACAGAAATTTTTGCTAATTTTTAGATCTTTCTGAAGTATAGCTTTATTATACTCAAATGAAAGGCAATTAGAGTAGATTGCAAATTTTTTCAAGATGGCCACCGCTTTAAAAATGATGGGACTTTTTCGCAAAAATCATAAATTTTTCATTCTAAACCAAAGTAATTAATATTATTGTTTGAAATTTTGGTAGTATATTCACAACATTTATCTATTTCACATATATTCCGTGTTTTTCATCCTGACCCCCAGGGGTTGTGTCAGAAAAACAGAAATTTTTGCTAATTTTTAGATCTTTCTGAAGTATAGCTTTATTATACTCAAATGAAAGGCAATTAAGAGTAGATTGCAAATAGTGTATCTTTTTTCTGATTCGAGCCTCGTAAAATTCAAAATGGCTGTCTAATGTACGATTTCGCAGTAATTTTTCGATCCCTTCAAAGTATGGCTATATTATACTCAAATTGAAGGAATTTTGGAGTAGATCACAATTATGGTATTATTTTTCAGGTTTGTACCTCAGAAAATTCAAAATGGCTGTTTTGCAGGAATTCGCAATTCTAACATCTAATTTTTTCAATTTTAACCAAAGTAATGAGTATAATTGATTGGAATTCGGTAATTGATATTTTGTTCGTTGGGATTTGCTACTCCGCGGAGTTGCCGTTATCTAGTTCTTCATCTAATAATCAGTATGGAGTTTTCCTAATTGAATATTGTACCTATTTCAATTCTAAACGGCAGCTTATTCATTTTCTACAACTTTGGTAATTTAATTTTTAATTACAGAAAATAATTTTTATATACAAGTCTATAGAATGTAGCATAACATGAACTAAATGTATGTAGACTGAGATGTTACAGGCTTAAGGCTATTTGCCATTTAAAATTCAAGACCATGTTCTTTTGGCCTACATGTTTGAACTAATTATTTTATGATCTATTTATGTTCGTCACCACTGACAGGCTTGTACCTCCAAGCACAATACATTATCATAAATCAGTTGTCACTAAATTCCTAATTCACATACCCGTTTCAATAGTTTGGCTTCACATTTTAAAGAGAGCAGAACAGTTTTTTCTAAAAATTACCACTACTAATACCAGAATAGCCGCAAGGAGATAATTTTTATGACATTTATTTTATTAAATTAACAAAGCTAAGGAGATCCAAGACTAGAGACAAGGATGACATGTGAAGATGGAAAAGGTATGCTCTTCAGCCTCCGGAACTCCGTACACACATTTATGATCTAGGGTAGAATGTTAGAAGCAATATTTCAAAGACATGTCAACGATGTCCCAGTTAATTACCATACAAAATGGACTATATTAAATGGGGACGCCCCAGCTCTGATGAGTTTGACTAGATTGGAGTTGTAGTGTCAACATACATATCAGATTTATTAATAAAGACGCTATGGGTGCATGTATGCACCTAGGACCATATAGGAAAAGGATATGAGATTTATGTCATTATCTAATATGATGGTTAGCTAAACTAAGAGAAATAAATCAATGTTCATTTTCTTAAGGACCCCCCTGGCGGCCATATTCTTAAGTTATTTACGATGGTGCAATGTATAAATGGATGGACTGTGTCTACATTTACTCTGTTAAAAGGCTGTCTAGGATCATTGGTCGTGTTTGTTGCACTAATATTACTTTTTGCCACAACTGACACCAAAACACATAAAAACATATTCAATTTTAATTTAAGAACAATTGAAATGGTAAATCCCATTCCTGTTTCATATCATGATAGTGGTGGCAACAATAGGACCCGTGATTTGGTTCAAGACATGACTAAGGATCCAATACAGGACATGAGCAAGGATCCGGTACATGACATGTTCCAAAATGGGGAAAATGATATGTTGTCTTCGTCACACTCACTGGATTACAAAAGGGTTGTAGACGCATATCGGACGGTGTCATTAGAAGTGAAGCAAATACTAAATAGCACCAATAATAACAGTACACAAGATTCAACAGCCCTCAATGTAAATCGAATGCCATCAACCGCATTGAAATGGGCACTTGACATGTACAGGAGTAAATCAAGTACTACAGTGATTGGGTCTGAACATTTAGAGTGCACGGGGGACGTTACTCTCACGCCGGTGGACCTAAGAATTATCGTTCTCACTCAGGAAAGAACGAAGTCGCTCCAGATTTGTTTAGAGCATATTGATAATGCTGAATACCATGGTGAGAAGGTCGTCTTGGATATTTGGATTGACCGGGAGAATCAGACCAATGAACTTAATGAAGAACTTTTCAAAATGGTGAGCAATTTCAAATTTAAGCCACATATTGTCAAATGCGTGCATATACAAGATAAATATGTGGGTATAATTGGACAATGGATCGATTCCTGGAAACTCGGTCCAGATAATAAAGAAATATGCGTCATTCTGGAGGACGATGTCGATGTATCACCACATTTTTATACATGGCTTAAGCCAGTGCATTTAAAATACCAGCACAGGGATGACGTCTCGGGAGTAGGACTCTCAACGATCTTTCCCGACCCCCTCGCAGATAAACCGCAATGTCTCGAAAAAATGAAGCAAACACCATCAATGTGTAACGCGATAAGAGTAGTTTTCAATAAGAATCCAGTTTACATGTACAAAATACCAACTACCTGGGGGTTCAGTCCTAAAATCTCAAGTTGGAGAAAATTCCAGATTTGGTACCATAACACAAGACGTTCTAACTCAACATTTAAACCGACAATAGATGCCCCCATCATACACAACACATGGTTCAATGGGGTCAGGGACATGTGGTCCATGTGGCACATCTATCACTGTCATACAAACAAACTTTATTGCATATTTCCGAATATTGTAAAGAATGGGAAATTCGCTAATCATAGACAAGAAAAGGGCCTGCATTATTTTCCAGCCGAGACTAAGTCTCAGTATACTTCTAGCTTGGTAGAAGAATGGAAAGACATGTATCTTGACCTGCCGGATAAACTTATACATGTAGATTACGATGGAAGCTATGAAGAAGGCTATTAACAATTAATGCTTGCTTGACTAATTTGTTTCATGTTTTTTTCATTGTTTCACATTATAAGTGTTGTGTATCCATAATACATGGTTTGAACATGTACACATAATATTAATCATTTTCTAAGTTCATTAGCAAGTATTACCTATTCCTACAACTCACACACATGAACCCAGCCAGCCCAATTTCCCACGTTTCTACAAGTTTTGCCTTCATGTTTCCATGTTTCATACATTTACATTTTTACTTCAATATTATTTTGTTTAGCTTATAATGCCATAAAGGCGATCGGCAATCCATTATGAATGAGAAAGTATGATGAAATAAATTAGTCCATGTACATATATAGGGTGTCAAATACGTATATTTCCCCACTCCCCTTAACTATAACATCCAAATTGTTGCATAACTTTTTAGTCTGCATGACATCTGAACTTACTGACATCAAAACTAAGCTTCATGGAGCAACTCCATAAGAAGTTTCAGATGACTGATGCTCAACTTGATGTACTTTTTCATCAACATCACATATTTCAGTATTTTTTGGTAAACAATGTTATATTTATGATTGTTATTCAATACAATAATTGTTATACAATATGTACAATAATATTATTACAACATTTAATTTCATGATTTCTTTGCATCATTTATGTTTAACTCTTAACAGATCCAGCCATTACACTGGATTTAAACCTATGGTCTGCTATTTTGAATAATAATTTTACATTCATACTCCCCTCAGTGCTATTAAAGATGCATTTGAGATCACAAAGATCTCAGAATAATTCTGTAATGTGAATTAGTCAGAGAGTAGAGTGGATAGGATTTAGGGTATCCATATCCATAATTATTCTGAAGTAGGAGGGTTAACAATGTCAACGGTTGAACTTGGAGGGTTCACAATGTCAATAGTTGTAGCAGGCGACTTCACGATGTCAACAGTTGTAGTTGGATGGTTCACAATGTCAACGGTTGAACTTGGAGGGTTAACAATGTCAATGGTTGTAGCAGGCGACTTCACGATGTCAACAGTTGTAGTTGGATGGTTCACAATGTCAACGGTTGTAGTTGGAGGGTTAACAATGTCAACGGTTGAACTTGGAGGATTAGCAATGTCAATGGTTGAACTTGGAGGATTAGCAATGTCAATGGTTGTAGGAGGTGGCTTCACAATGTCAATGGTTGTAGTTGGAGGATTCATGATGTCAATGGTCCACAAGTTACTTGTTGGAGGTGTTACTGTGGCACTTATATTCGGTTTATTCAGTACCTGCGACACCTCTGTCTCATTTGCCACATCTGAAACCTGCCACTCATCTGTTTGATTTGACACATCTATAACTTGGGACACATTTGTTTCATTTGAAACATGCTCTGTACCTTCTTGGATACAATCAATTTCCATAAAGACACTTTCTGAATTATTCTGGACACTTTCTTTCTCATCTGAGGCTCTTATTGATTCATTCATAATCAGGAAACTTTCTGAATCATTTGTAATTTTTTCACTATCAATAATAACAGTTTGTGGTGCATTTGAGACAGTCTCTGCTCCTTCAATATCTTCATGTACTTCAATAAAAACAGTTTCTGATTCCTTTGAGACATTTTCTGAATTTGCCTCATTTGTCAGGGTGACACTCCCTGAATGTGTGTCATGTGTCATTGAGACACAGTCTGATATTGTATCATCAGAGAGTGTCGGTGTCTGCACCAGTTCAACACTAATCTGGCCAGTGTGTGGAAGTTCATCTTGCATAGCATAGTAGAGAACCTGAAGATATATAATATTTGAGCAATTTAGGCAGAACAAAAAATAATATTTAAATCATTCTGTGATATTTCTACCCAAATATTTGGAGAAAGAGGAACTTTTCCTATAAGAGCTCTTCTGTAATACTGAAATTGTTATTGAAGAGTTCTCAATTACAAATATTATATTCTCATGGTAAAATAAACTGAATGAAATAATAAAAAAAAACTTCGTGCAAGACTTAAAAAATCCATAACAAAAAAATTAATTAAAAGAAATTATTTCAAAATTCATTTAATTTAGTCCAAAATTTAACTTAAGAGAATTTTTTTGTGACTGTCAACTATCAATCGTGATCAAATGGGTTTATGGGTAACCAAATGAGAACTTTTACAGGTGGTAATGTTGCTATGGTGATTTAATACTCAAACCAAAGGAAACCTCAAATTACCTGATTATCTTCTGTGACCTGTTCCACCTCAACATTGGTTGGAAGAACTTCTTGTGTTGTTGTCACGGCAACCTCTGATTGTTCCCCAGACGACCCTGCTGCATTGTCATCCACAAGAACAACATTGTAACCCTCTGAAGCAAGCTATAAGCAAACAGTCAATTTTCAACCCAAAAGATTGGCTGTTTGTGCTTTGGTGGACAGTATGATCCTCATGTTGCTATGGTAACAAATTATTTGAATCTCAGGAGGTAAACTTTCTAGTGCATACCTTCCAACCATTTGCTGAGCTTAATTATCACAAACAATAGGAAACACAGTTTTATAAAATATTCACATCAATATTAAGTAATTGAGAAGACTTTTTTCTCAAAAGAACTGAGAGTAGCTGCATATGTGTTACATATATTTTGGGGGTTGTATCCTCTTACCTCAATGATATTAGGCATGGTGGGAGATGTTGGAGCAAATCTGCTGGTCTTCCCTACATTCTTTATTACTGTACTCTCGGTCTTATCACCATCATTCTCAGTGCCAACATCTGCAACAAATTAGAGAGAATTCAAACAATTTCTATAACATAGAGAGAATAGTAACCTATCTTGGGATAAGAGACCCAGAGAACAAGGTGGGACATAAGACATAAAGCAGTTAAATAAGAGATTTAGTATGACCCTGTAAGGCCAAATATATACAGTAGTTACATAGAAGTACATATAGCACAGTAAGTCTTCCTGCGAATAACATTAGCTTGCTTACCTTCCAATACCAGCTTTCCCATAGCTGTAGATTGGGAGTTTTCAGTGAGCATTATCTTAACATCTGAGTATAACATTAGCTTACTTACCTTCCATGACCAGCTTTCCCATAGCTGTAGACTGGGAGTTTTCAATGAGTGTTATCTTAACATCTGAGTATAACATTAGCTAACTTACCTTCCATGACCAGCTTTCCCATAGCTGTAGACTGGGAGTTTTCAGTGAGCATTATCTTAACATCTGAGTATAACATTAGCTTACTTACCTTCCGTGACCAGCTTTCCCATAGCTGTTGACTGGGAGTTTTCAGTGAGCATTATCTTAGCATCTGAGTATAACATTAGCTAGCTTACCTTCCATGACCAGCTTTCCCATAGCTGTTGACTGGGAGTTTTCAGTGAGCATTATCTTAACATCTGAGTATAACATTAGCTTACTTACCGTCCATGACCAGCTTTCCCATAGCCGTTGACTTGGAGTTTTCAATGAGCATTATCTTAACATCTGAGTATAACATTAGCTAGCTTACTTTCCATGACCAGCTTTCCCATAGCTGTTGACTGGGAGTTTTCAGTGAGCATTATCTTAACATCTGAGTATAACATTAGCTTACTTACCTTCCATGACCAGCTTTCCCATAGCTGTTGACTGGGAGTTTTCAGTGAGCATTATCTTAACATCTGAGTATAACATTAGCTTGCTTACCTTCCATGACCAGCTTTCCCATAGCTGTTGACTGGGAGTTTTCAATGAGCATTATCTTAACATCTGAGTATAACATTAGCTTACCTTCCATGACCAGCTTTCCCATAGCTGTTGAGTGGGAGTTTTCAATGAGTGTTATCTTAACATCTGAGTATAACATTAGCTAGCTTACCTTCCATGACAAGCTTTCCAATAGCTGTTGACTGGGAGTTTTCAGTGAGCATTATCTTAACATCTGAGTATAACATTAGCTTACTTACCTTCCATGACCAGCTTTCCCATAGCTGTAGACAGGGAGTTTTCAGTGAGCATTATCTTAACATCTGAGTGTAACATTAGCTTGCTTACCTTCCATGACAAGCTTTCCCATAGCTGTAGACTGGTAGTTTTCAATGAGCATTATCTTAACATCTGAGTATAACATTAGCTTACTTACCTTCCATGACCAGCTTTCCCATAGCTGTAGACTGGGAGTTTTCAATGAGCATTATCTTAACATCTTAGTATAACATTAGCTAACTTACCTTCCATGACCAGCTTTCCCATAGCTGTAGACTGGGAGTTTTCAATGAGCATTATCTTAACATCTGAGTATAACATGAGCTCATCTACCTTCCATGACCAGCTTTCCCATAGCTGTTGACTGGGAGTTTTCAATGAGCATTATCTTAACATCTTAGTATAACATTAGCTTACTTACCTTCCATGACCAGCTTTCCCATAGCTGTTGACTGGGAGTTTTCAGTGAGCATTATCTGAACATCTGAGTATAACATTAGCTAACTTACCTTCCATAACCAGCTTTCCCATAGCTGTAGACTGGGAGTTTTCAATGAGCATTATCTTAACATCTTAGTATAACATTAGCTAACTTACCTTCCATGACCAGCTTTCCCATAGCTGTAGACTGGGAGTTTTCAATGAGCATTATCTTAACATCTGAGTATAACATTAGCTTGTTTACCTTCTATGACCAGCTTTCCCATAGCTGTTGACTGGGAGTTTTCAGTGAGCATTACCTTAACATCTGAGTATAACATTAGCTTGCTTACCTTCCATGACCAGCTTTCCCATAGCTGTTGACTGGGAGTTTTCAATGAGCATTATCTTAACATCTTAGTATAACATTAGCTTGCTTACCTTCCATGACCAGCTTTCCCATAGCTGTTGACTGGGAGTTTTCAGTGAGCATTATCTTAACATCTGAGTATAACATTAGCTTACTTACCTTCCATGACCAACTTTCCCATAGCTGTTGACTGGGAGTTTTCAGTGAGCATTATCTTAACATCTGAGTGTAACATTAGCTTACTTACCTTCCATGACCAACTTTCCCATAGCTGTTGACTGGGAGTTTTCAGTGAGCATTAGCTTAACATCTGAGTATAACATTAGCTTACTTGCCTTCCATGACCAGCTTTCCCATAGCTGTAGACTGGGAGTTTTCAGTGAGCATTATCTTAACATCTGAGTATAACATTAGCTTGTTTACCTTCCATGACCAGCTTTCCCAGAGCTGTTGACTGGGAGTTTTCAATGAGCATTATCTTAACATCTGAGTATAACATTGGCTTGCTTACCTTCCATGACCAGCTTTCCCATAGCTGTAGATTGGGAGTTTTCAGTGAGCATTATCTTAACATCTGAGTATAACATAAGCTTGCTTACCTTCCATGACCAGCTTTCCCATAGCTGTTGACTGGGAGTTTTCAATGAGCATTATCTTAACATCTGAATATGACATTAGCTTGCTTACCTTCCATGACCAGCTTTCCCATAGCTGTTGACTGGGAGTTTTCAGTGAGCATTATCTTAACATCACCATCTCCATGGCTTGCTATATCCTCTGGTAGATGCTGGGCTAGAATATGTACAGCTAAGTAGTCCTGAAACACAATGAAATCTATTCTTTATACATCCAGTAAAACCTGTGTAAGTGGAACACATATGGTACATCTTGGGGGTTCAATTTGAAAAGTGTTTCACTAGAAGAGGTTCATTTTACATTAAGTCAATATGTCATGAGAGTCTAAAAAGTGTTCCGCTTGGGAGGTGTTCCACTTGCAGAAGTTCCTTTGATAAGCCAGGGGACTCTGAAAAGTGTTCCACCTATGGAGGTGTTCAACTTTACAGGTTTTACTGTGTATTTCATACCTACTGAGGTTCTGGATACATCATACCTTATAAAGTTCCAAAATTCCAAAACATACTTAAGATCCCTGCGGTCCCTCGGGAGATAAACATATTTCCCTTGGGATAAACCCTGTATCCAAAACCTCCCAGTACATAACAGTTTCTGGGATATTTTAGTTCATATCTATCTCATCATCCATTTAAAAAACAGCAACAACATACATTTTGTGATGATAATGTCACCTATAAGACAACAGGGAATTCTAAGATCAATTTTATGGCAAACGATGTGATAGTGGTATCGATCAGATTTGGGAAATCTCTGAATTTTAGCTATAAGTAATCCAGATATGAAAATAGTGATTAGAATCAGCCAGTAATAAAGTACAAAATATTATCCAAATATATAAATTGAGAAATACAAAAATAATTGGTTCTGCAACCAACCATGCTTGTTTCTCTATATTTCTTTCTAAAACGTGTATGAATTGTCAGATTTTCAATTTAAAACATTGACTACTGTACATGATGCAGTGATCTCCCCAGCATTAAAGCAAGTAGGCGCAGCACCCACCTGAAAATCCATTTGCACCCACTTGAAAATGAGAAAAATCATGAAAAGTTGGCATATTTTGACCAATTGATCTGATTCCAATTTTGATCTGACTTGTGAAAATGAGAATTCTGCCCCCACCTGAGAAAAAATCCTGGGGAGATCACTTTGATGTTTACTTTATTCCTTGCTGATTCCCATCTTTACCACTCCAAATTCAAAACATTACCACCCCAACCCTGTTCACTCAGTTCATTACCTGCGACGTGAAGGCTTCCATGCAATGTTCACACATGAAGACATTCTCAAACGGCTCTCCAGTGTCGCTGCACTTTATCGTAACTTCCTTATTAGGGTGAAAGATTGACGAGTGTTTATAAATTCCAGCCTTTGACTTATACAGTTTTCCACAATGGCCACAGGAAAACTGGAATGAACTCTTGCCATCTCCATGTGTAATCCTGGAAAGGAATTTAGAAATTAGACAACCAGTCGTCATAACCACTCAACTACATCATGAGCAGTTTATAGTGTTTATACTGTTGGATCCCATGGGTTATTAATAAAGCCCCATCATACCAAGTGTCTACGAAACAAGCTCGTCATACCACCAAGTTTGCTAATACATTTAGCCTTAGCTATGACTGTATGACATGCACTCTAGACTTCGACTCACGCAGACTTTTGAGTCAATGAACTATCGTCTAAACAAATAAATATCTATAATATCTAACCTTATATGGTGTGACAAAGCTTCAATTGTCCGGAACCCCCTTGAGCAATGATCGCAGTGGAACAATTTCTTAGTAAACTGACGATCGTGTCTCATCCTGTGCAGATTCAAGCCACTGGGATAGCTGAAGCTCTGCGGACAGAGGTCGCACTGGTAGGGACGTTTCGTCTTGTGGGTCGTTCCCATATGATTAAGGAGGTATTTTTTGACAGCAAATCGTTTAAAACAGAATTTACATTTAAATGGCATGCTGTTGATGTTGGTATGAACTGCCGCAGTGTGTTGCTTTAGGTTGCCATTGGACGAGAAAACCTGGAAGAATATACAATTTACATTGTACTGGGTGGCCCAGAAAAAGTAGGTTTACAGTTAAAAAAGGAGATGGTTTCCAATATAATTTCATGGGATGGGAATAAAACATCTAAAGGAGCATGATATACTAAGATAATCGATTTTTACAGTTGTCCTTAACCAAGAATGTCCAAAATTAGTCAGGCAGTTTTTCATAATTTTCTAGGCAGTTTTTCATAATTTTCTAGGCAGCTTTTCATAATTTTCTAGGCAGCTTTTCATAATTTTCTAAAATCTCCACTTTTTAAAGATCTTTTTCACAAGATTTCTTCAATCTTTGGTCATTCGTCCATCCTCTTTGATATTTGTGAAGGGTAGATGGTAGAAGGAACGTAGATGTGCGTATACAAATTTTGATCAAGAAATACCAAATAAGGTTATATTTTTCATACCTTGCGACAGACTTGACACTGGTACCCTGAGACTTGATGGAAGCGTCGATGCGATCTAAACCACGCAGCTGATGTGAAATTTTTATTACAGATGGCGCAATGCATCATGATTTTATGAGACACCTGATGTTCCCGTAACCCGCTGGGGTTTTTGTACGACTTGGAACAAATCAAACAATTGAATTGTTTCCCCTCTATATGGCTCTCAATGTGCCTTTGGTAGTTCGACTTCATCAGCACTTTGTTGCAGACCTCACATTTTCGTGTATCTGAAATCATAAAAAACCATGCAGCAGAGTTAATGTTGTTTTTTAATGATTTTATCAGTAGCGTAGCATTGGTATTTTGTTCGTGTACGCCACCAGTTAGTGAAATGAACATGCTTTGAGGGGGGTTCGGAGAACCAACCCCCAAAGAAAATTTGAAAATGAGAAGCGTTCTGGGGCATTTTGAAAAACGAAATTCCGACTATTATGGACAAATATAATGTAAATTATTGGCCATTTATATCCATTTTAAAGTGTGGAGCAAATCAATATAAAAAATCAACTGTTTTCTAAATTTTGAGAGTACGCCATGGCGTTTTATGCGTATATGACGCTACACCATTGTTTATTTTCAAGGTAGTTCTATTTTAGTATGGAATGCTGATAAAAATCAACAAGGCATTAACATGCAAAATGTCACCACCATTTGTTACAGATGCCAACTACCCATTGCCAAACGCCGTCACAAATATGGATACCACAACAATATGTCACCACTTTTTGGTGATGACATAAAAATGCACCTCTCCAAGACCAAGCAAATCTAGAAGCCACCAATGGTGCATTACCATTATCAATACCAGCATGGACCCCTATAAAATGGCTGAGCATCAGTTCGGAGATTTTTGTCCTAAAATTGTTAATGGATAAACTGAAGCAGATGAGCCACAGTGTTAATGGGTATACATTATTTAGAGTGATGATATGCAACCGAAAGCTAAATATAACAAGATTTAAGGCAACAGTACCTTGTGGTCTCTGGACTTTGCAGTGTCCCCGTAAATGTGAGCTATAAGTCTCCGGATGACGAAACTCTTTACCACATATCTACAATTAAAGCATACATTTACAATTATTTATAATACATCATAAATATAGTATACATCTTCAATGTATGGAACATTTACAATATAGCATATACCTACAATCACACATATTAGTTCTCTACATGAGTAAAATGTAAATTCTGTGCAGAAATTCTGGATGAAAGAGTCAAGTGAATAGAGTAAGTCTGCTTTGACGGAGGATTATGACATCACACTGACAGCACAGTGAGTCCATTCACTTGTAGAGCACAATTACACCACTAGCTTTTTGCTATGACAACACATTTTAAACAAATAACTGTCATTTTCAAAAAACATATTAAGTTTTTTTCATTGAATGCATGTTTTATGAATCAAATTTTTAAGGTGCTCCACAGAACCAAGTCTTGCTGTTGCCATGGCAACCAAACGTTCACTTCCTTATAAGGAATTATATTTATATTGATGTAAACTCAAGATATATATGTATATGGAACATATGCTGAAAGTTTCATAAATAAATCTGTAAAAATAAAAAGATTATAGCAAAAAGAAACGAACTTTTCAAATGCCCCTCGTACATCTATGATATAGCAATATTGATCTGTAGCAGCATAATTATACTGTATATTGCCCATATATTTATAACCTATTGAGAATGTATCAAATAGGTAGAATATAGGGAAGTTCTTTTTGAGAATTTACAAAATTAAACGTGGCATTGACATGCAAAATGTCATCACCTGCCATTTGTTACAGCATAAAAATTGATAGCATACCTGACAGCAGTAGTTGTTTCCAGTCACTCCACAGTGAGACTTATGGACCCTCAACTGCAATATATAAACATAGGGACTTGTAAAATGCAATTTGTTATGGACCCTCCACTGCAATATATAATAAACATAGGGAATTGTACAATGCAATTTGTTATGGTCCCTCAACTGCAATATATAAACATAGGGACTTGTAAAATGCAATTTATTATGGACCCTCAACTGTAATATATAAACATAGGGACTTGTAAAATGCAATTTGTTATGGACCCTCAAATGCAATATATAAACATAGGGACTTGTAAAATGCAATTTGTTATGGACCCTCAACTGCAATATATAAACATAGGGACTTGTAAAATGCAATTTGTTATGGACCCTCAACTGCAATATATAAACATAGGGACTTGTAAATTGCAATTTATTATGGACCCTCAACTGCAATATATAAACATAGGGACTTGTAAAATGCAATTTGTTATGGACTCTCAACTGTAATATATAAACATAGGGACTTGTAAAATGCAATTTGTTATGGACCCTCAACTGCAATATATAAACATAGGGACTTGTACAATGCAATTTGTTATGGACCCTCAACTGTAATATATAAACATAGGGACTTGTAAAATGCAATTTATTATGGACCCTCAACTGTAATATATAAACATAGGGACTTGTAAAATGCAATTTGTTATGGACCCTCAAATGCAATATATAAACATAGGGACTTGTAAAATGCAATTTGTTATGGACCCTCAACTGCAATATATAAACATAGGGACTTGTAAATTGCAATTATTATGGACCCTCAACTGCAATATATAAACATAGGGACTTGTAAAATGCAATTTGTTATGGACTCTCAACTGTAATATATAAACATAGGGACTTGTAAAATGCAATTTGTTATGGACCCTCAACTGCAATATATAAAACATAGGGACTTGTAAAATGCAATTTGTTATGGACCCTCAAATGCAATATATAAACATAGGGAATTGTACAATGCAAAAATGCACTATGTCATTGCAGGTATCAAAATGAAATATATAAATAAATAAAGACAATACTGGCCACAAAAAACAATACGCCAATACTTTGTGATGGTAACATATAACATTGCAATATTTTTACTGTTTGGAATTGTTAGGCATTTTTGATTTTTATATAATAGAAAGCTGTTCAAATGATAATCTATGGAAATATCTTATAAGGTAAGAAAAGTGAATACCTTATAAGGTAACATCACTGAAATACCTGATAAGGGTACAATATGTGGTAACATTTATCTTAAAGGCATCAGTCTTAAAGGCCTTACTTTTGTTACATAATTATGTTTCTCACTCAGTGTTTGCCTCATTTAGTGCAATATTACAATACAACCAACATCCATATAAGGGCATGATAAAAGCCATACCTTATAAGGAAAGTGGAAACCTGCACCACATCTGTTACATTTATACTTTGCGCCATCTGTGTGTCTATGCTTTTCATGTGAATAGAGATTGGAACGAGAATTGGTCGAGTAGGAACATTTGTGACAACTCCAAATTTTCAGATCTTTGTGTGACGTCATCATGTGGTTAAACATGGCCGACCTTCCGCTGATGATAGTCGCACATGCATTACATTCGTATGCTGGGACTGCATGGTCTAAAATCAAGTAGTATATGTCATTGGTACATTTATTCAGGAAATAAATAGCAAGAAGAGAACAGCAGGGATTTCATTAGCACCAGGCAACAGATTTTCACCCATTGTTTTCACAAAATCAGCCTGTTGTGAGACATTCTAGTGAAAACCCTAGAACAGGCATTTTTCTCCATTCATTTTGTTACCAAAATCACCTGTTGATTGCATTTTATAATTGAAATAATATTTATGTTTAATTTTTTGTTCTAGTTCTAGACAATCAGGAGTTACCAGGAACCGAGTCTCTAGCTACTATTACTGCATTATCAAATATTTGATATTTAAGATTGCATGTTTGGCCAGTCTGGATTCCTTTTCTTTCCTTTATACTTAGCCTTGCCCAAGTCGGTCTCTTTTACTTATCTTGATTTCTATTATGACCGCCTTGTACCAAAGAGAAAGCCACGTGCTTTACCGACAGTTTGTTGATGTTGGTAAAATATGACCAATCAACGACGGCCCTGAAGCGTTAGCTCATTATTATGCACGGTCAAAAACAAGTACACTTTTCACCGGGACTTTTCACGAAACAAATCTTGCACGAATCTAAGTAACGAATTGATTATGAAAATACAAATATTTTATCAGATAAATATCAATGAGAGTTTAGTGGATGCCGGGGCATCGATCGGATAACCAAAGGTGAGAAGATTTCAACAATAAACGTTGAAACGATCGCTGAACATGTAGGCTGAGATTCAATTAAGGAATAAATAATGATAGGCCATTCAATATGGTGAAATTCAGCACGAGTTGGACAGAATGTTGTACAAAGCACGAACCGAAGGTGAGTGCATTTGTACTAACATTCTGTCCAACGAGTGCTGAATTTCACCATATTGAATGGCCTATCATTATTTATTCCGATTCAAACATAAAAATTAGTAAAAGCTGTGTCTGTGGAACGGGCATGAAGGAAGAATAAGCATGCTGTCGAGATTCTGAAGTCGGCCGGAAAATTTTTAGAATTTGATTGGTTGAGATGTGACGTCAGAGCCCCAGATGTGCAGCTGAGATGTGACGTCACTCAAAACAATGCAAATTGCAGATTGAATAGAGCATGGTCGTGCATCTATGGAGAATTAGAGAACGTTCTATATTGGCTATGCTGCATTCTGATTGGTTGAGAAATTCGAATAGAGCACGGTCATGTTTGAATCACCGATCGACGACAACATGACCCGCTACATTGGACTAGGTCTTCGTGAATTTTCATCGCGAAATCAGTTTTAAATCAACATTGAATCGCATGATTTAATTTATATTAATGACTCTTACCTTCCAATGTACATTTAATTACATAATATATTGTAACTCTAACGAAACACTCGAATTTCAAGTCGTAGATAGGAAGTTTGTTTTGTTTATGAAGCTCAACCTGATAACGTTTTGATTGGTCATTCAGCCTGAAGTCACAAGTCGTGTCCACGCGATATCTGTCAAACAATAAGGTTTCGCGATACCCCTGATAGCGTAGGTATTATGGAAATCTCGAAACCGTTGAATATTTAAGCATAATAACAGCAGAGATGTATTGGATTGTACAAGGCGGTAATAATTCAAGATCAGATAAGTAAAAAATACCGACTTGGGCAAGGCTACTTTATACTGAAAAGTATGCATATATTGGGTCTGATATTTTTTGATAACAACATTGGTTTTGGTTGAGTTTATAGCCTTACCTTTGAGTTTGAGCATCACTGTCTTTGTGACTTTTGCCAGTACTTCGTCCAGATTCTCAATTGCAGAAGATTTGCTATAAAAAAGTGAGACATGTCAGTATGTAAAAACACATATGTAGTAAAATAAATTCAAACACGTCTAAATGTGAACACTTTTTCTAAGTCCAAATTTTCATCTTGCATTGAGTGGCATATACGTGTGCATTTGTGTATAGGCAAAATACGCAAAATTGACCGAGTTATTCAACTTTCTTACAGTCCTGTTTTTTGGACACCCTGTAAGAAAACCTTGAAATGTGAACATCTACTATTCATAGCTTTTTTGCTGGTTCCATTATTGTTTGATGATACAGGTTTCAGGGTGCTAACCAGACCTGGACATACTGAACCATGAGCATTTGAGGATCCATGTAGAGCTGAACATACAGCCGAGCTTTGAGCTTTATGCCCAATGTCTCAAACATGATACCACAGAGCAAGCTAACAGTATCAGAAGGTCTGGTTTAATAGTACCCATACATTATGCCCCATGTCTCAAACATGATACCACAGAGCAAGCTAACAGTATCAGAAGGTCTGGTTTAATAGTACCCATACATTATGCCCCATGTCTCAAACATGACACCACAGAGCCAGCTCACAGTATCAGAAGGTCTGCTTTAATAGTACCCATACATTATGCCCCATGTCTCAAATATGATACCACAGAGCAAGCTCACAGTATCAGAAGGTCTGGTTTAATAGTACCCATACATTATGCCCCATGTCTCAAACATGACACCACAGAGCCAGCTCACAGTATCAGAAGGTCTGATTTAATAGTACCCATACATTATGCCCCATGTCTCAAACATGATACCACAGAGCAAGCTCACAGTATCAGAAGGTCTGGTTTAATAGTACCCATACATTATGCCCCATGTCTCAAACATGATACCACAGAGCAAGCTCACAGTATCAGAAGGTCTGGTTTAATAGTACCCATACATTATGCCCCATGTCTCAAACATGATACCACAGAGCAAGCTCACAGTATCAGAAGGTCTGGTTTAATAGTACCCATACATTATGCCCCATGTCTCAAACATGATACCACAGAGCAAGCTAACAGTATCAGAAGGTCTGGTTTAATAGTACCCATACATTATGCCCCATGTCTCAAACATGATACCACAGAGCAAGCTCACAGTATCAGAAGGTCTGGTTTAATAGTACCCATACATTATGCCCCATGTCTCAAACATGATACCACAGAGCAAGCTAACAGTATCAGAAGGTCTGGTTTAATAGTACCCATACATTATGCCCCATGTCTCAAACATGATACCACAGAGCAAGCTCACAGTATCAGAAGGTCTGGTTTAATAGTACCCATACATTATGCCCCATGTCTCAAACATGATACCACAGAGTAAGCTAACAGTATCAGAAGGTCTGGTTTAATAGTACCCATACATTATGCCCCATGTCTCAAACATGATACCACAGAGCAAGCTCACAGTATCAGAAGGTCTGGTTTAATAGTACCCATACATTATGCCCCATGCCTCAAACATGATACCACAGAGCAAGCTCACAGTATCAGAAGGTCTGGTTTAATAGTACCCATACATTATGCCCAATGTCTCAAACATGATACCAAAGAGCAAGCTAACAGTATCAGAAGGTCTGGTTTAATAGTACCCATACATTATGCCCCATGTCTCAAACATGATACCACAGAGCAAGCTCACAGTATCAGAAGGTCTGGTTTAATAGTACCCATACATTATGCCCAATGTCTCAAACATGATACCACAGAGCAAGCTCACAGTATCAGAAGGTCTGGTTTAATAGTACCCATACATTATGCCCCATGTCTCAAACATGATACCACAGAGCAAGCTCACAGTATCAGAAGGTCTGGTTTGATAGTACCCATACATTATGCCCCATGTCTCAAACATGACACCACAGAGCCAGCTCACAGTATCAGAAGGTCTGGTTTAATAGTACCCATACATTATGCCCCATGTCTCAAACATGATACCACAGAGCAAGCTCACAGTATCAGAAGGTCTGGTTTGATAGTACCCATACATTATGCCCCATGTCTCAAACATGACACCACAGAGCCAGCTCACAGTATCAGAAGGTCTGGTTTAATAGTACCCATACATTATGCCCCATGTCTCAAACATGACACCACAGAGCCAGCTCACAGTATCAGAAGGTCTGGTTTAATAGTACCCATACAATATGCCCAATGTCTCAGACATGATACCACAGAGCAAGCTCACAGTATCAGAAGGTCTGATTTAATAGTACCCATACATTATGCCCCATGTCTCAAACATGATACCACAGAGCAAGCTCACAGTATCAGAAGGTCTGGTTTAATAGTACCCATACATTATGCCCAATGTCTCAAACATGATACCACAGAGCAAGCTCACAGTATAAGTAGGTCTGATTTAATAGTACCCATACATTATGCCTTATGTCTCAAACATGATACCACAGAGCAAGCTCACAGTATCAGAAGGTCTGGTTTAATAGTACCCATACATTATGCCCAATGTCTCAAACATGATACCACAGAGCAAGCTCACAGTATCAGAAGGTCTGGTTTAATAGTACCCATACATTATGCCCCATGTCTCAAACATGACACCACAGAGCCAGCTCACAGTATCAGAAGGTCTGGTTTAATAGTACCCATACAATATGCCCAATGTCTCAAACATGATACCACAGAGCAAGCTCACAGTATCAGAAGGTCTGGTTTAATAGTACCCATACATTATGCCCAATGTCTCAAACATGATACCACAGAGCAAGCTCACAGTATAAGAAGGTCTGTTTTAATAGTACCCATACATTATGCCCATGTCTCAAACATGATACCACAGAGCAAGCTCACAGTATCAGAAGGTCTGATTTAATAGTACCCATACATTATGCCCATGTCTCAAACATGATACCACAGAGCAAGCTCACAGTATCAGAAGGTCTGGTTTAATAGTACCCATACATTATGCCCCATGTCTCAAACATGATACCACAGAGCAAGCTCACAGTATAAGAAGGTCTGGTTTAATACCCATACATTATGCCCCATGTCTCAAACATGATACCACAGAGCAAGCTCACAGTATCAGAAGGTCTGGTTTAATAGTACTCATACATTATGCCCCATGTCTCAAACATGATACCACAGAGCAAGCTCACAGTATCAGAAGGTCTGGTTTAATAGTACTCATACATTATGCCCCATGTCTCAAACATGATACCACAGAGCAAGCTCACAGTATCAGAAGGTCTGGTTTAATAGTACTCATACATTATGCCCCATGTCTCAAACATGATACTACAGAGCAAGCTCACAGTATCAGAAGGTCTGGTTTAATAGTACTCATACATTATGCCCCATGTCTCAAACATGATACCACAGAGCAAGCTCACAGTATCAGAAGGTCTGGTTTAATAGTACCCATACATTATGCCCCATGTCTCAAACATGATACCACAGAGCCAGCTCACAGTATCAGAAGGTCTGGTTTAATAGTACCCATACATTATGCCCCATGTCTCAAACATGATACCACAGAGCAAGCTCACAGTATAAGAAGGTCTGGTTTAATAGTACCCATACATTATGCCCCATGTCTCAAACATGATACCACAGAGCAAGCTCACAGTATCAGAAGGTCTGATTTAATAGTACCCATACATTATGCCCATGTCTCAAACATGATACCACAGAGCAAGCTCACAGTATCAGAAGGTCTGGTTTAATAGTACCCATACATTATGCCCCATGTCTCAAACATGATACCACAGAGCAAGCTCACAGTATCAGAAGGTCTGGTTTAATAGTACCCATGGGTTTTATTGTAAGTGAAGTACTCTGAATCCCCAGTGTCTCACCACACCCACCCTCTGACTATTTCGGAAGATTTTTAACTTCAAAGTTTTCATGCTATATTCAATCTTAATTATTTCAAATCTAGGAGGAGTGCCGCTAGAAGGAATGTTTACATATTAGTTGCTAATTAATTCAGTCATATTTAGTAAGTGGCCTAGTTAAAATGTGCTTCTAGTGCAAAATTAAGTTCCAAATTAAGTTCCAAATTACTTAAACTAGTATTTTATCAGATGCGTCGACTTTGATGTATGGGATTACTTCATCATGAGGGTATTTCAAACTTTTTACATTGGCTTATATTTTTGATTCATGCAGTTTGCCATATTTCTTTTTTTAAGACTTAAAAAAATAAATCAAAATCTCTAATGGGCGAGATCTTAATCCTAGATGGCTGACCCTGGAAAATATTACCAATGGTCAAAATAGCCTTATGGTCAAAGTAGCCTCATGACAAAGTAACCATACATTGAAGTTCTAGAATTTAACATACTTTGCATTTATAGATTCAATTGCTATTTGTTGACCAATGGCTTCAGCAACGGTAGTAGGATCCACACTGACACTATGGCCTGCTGCATCATTTTCACCCTTCTGTTGAGATGTACACAGGTAATCTGGATGCTCTGGGTTCATTTGCTCAATGGTGTCATTTTTGGCTACTGATTGCTTCTCATTAGAGGTCAGCGACTCTGTTTGTTGGAGGGAAGAACGCTGATCATTCTCTTCAGGGGATGAAACCATTTCTTCATGTGTAGACTTTGAGCTATCTTTAGATGGCGCTACTGTCTGTTTCTGTGTTAAGTTTGTCTCTTTCTCAATAGAGGCCTGCATGATTTGTTCATGTGAAGAGACGGGTTCCTCTCCTATAGATTTTAGTTGTTCATTAGAGAGCAGAATTATATGTTTCTGTGTAGGATTTTTGGAAACTAGCACTGTTTGTTTGTGCTTTTCACTTGAATCATCTCCTATCTTTTTGTTGTCATCATTGTCACCTGCACCAGAAGGGTCTTCTTTGTCCCGATCATCATTGTTTGCAGCATCTTCAACTCCCAACTTATCAATTTCATTGTCAGGTTCTTCTGTGATTTTATCCTTTTCAGTAACACTCTCAAAAGCCCCTGTCTTCTTGGATATCTTTGAATCCTTTAGGAACTTATCAACTGGCATCAACACAACTTTTTGATTGTATGGTACCTTATCCTTCTTGAGGTTTGTCTTCTGGACCATTGCTTCCGTAGAAGAGCCTGCATTTTTCTGGTTTGTGGCAGTTATACCAACAGAATGTTTAATAGCATTATCCTGAATTTCAACAGTTTCAGTAATAGTATCGTCCTGGATATTGGTAGTATCAACTGTAGTATTTTTCTGATTTGTGTTACATGTTATTTCAGCTATAGTGTTCTCCAAACTTTTGGTAATTTTTGCAACATATCTACCCTGCTTCCCAGTGGATTCAAGAAAAGTGTTATCTGGGTTTCGAATAGTTCTAGTGATAGTACCATCATCAGTTTTCTCAACAGTTATTTCCTGGTCTTTGTAAATTTCAGCAGCAGTGTTTTCCTGAATCGGATCTGGAGCAACATTTTCTTGTTGACTTTCAGCATCAGTTTTGTCCTGGACATCAGGGTCCACTATCTCATATCCATTATTCAGCAAGTTGGCTGGATCTGACATGGACAAGTTTGTCTTGTAAATTTTTGGCATTACTCCTTTTTTATTCTTTCTGTGGGATTCCAGGTGACGTGTCAGCTAAAAAAGTCCCAATAACACAAGTCAGTCAACCTAAATGGATAAGTGTCAACAAGACCTTATCTGTTTAGAACTCATCTGATTATTGAACTGATTGTTTAAAACTAGCCAATTTAGAACTCACTTATTTTTCAGGATTTACTAATACTAGATATAACCTTGAGAATGTAAGAACTTTAGAACTTACTGATTACTGAGAACTTTCTCATTGTTAAATATTAGAACTTTCTGATTTCCTAGAGCTTTCTCATTGTTGAAAACTTAAGAACTTTCAAATTTTAGTATTTGAGCCAGGCCACAGAAAAAGGGGTCTTATCACAGATTTTTTCAATATTTTGATTTTTTGTTTATCTTAAAAAGCACAAAGATACCTTTCAAACGAGCCATGACTTATGTCTTAACAATTTTTCTGTGCAGATATAGACCAAAAGACAGATTTGAATTTAACACATTTTCCTCTTAATCTTGAGCACATTTTTGGCTCTGTAGCACAATTTTAATTTTTGTGATAAGACCGCTTTTCCTATGGCCAGGCTCATTTATAGATCAGTTTGAACCTTCTCATTACTGAAAACTTTTGAAATCCAAACTTTAGAACTTACTGATAACTCAGAACTTTCTCATTGTTTAGAACTTTCAGACTTACTGATAACTTAAGAACTTTCTCATTGTTTAGAACATAGTTAAACTTTCAAACTTACTGATAACTTAGAACTTTCTCATTGTTTAGAACTTAGAACTTTCAAACTTTAGAACTTACAAATCACTTAGAACTTTCTCATTATTGAGAACTTACTGATTGCTTTATCTTGTATTTAGCTGGGCATAAATGGCAGCTGTAGAGACCTTCAAACTTATGCAACTCTAGATGTCTCTCTATAAGGCATCTCAAACTCTCTAAAAAACATTGAATATTAATGAACAAAGTGGAACATTCTGGACAAATACAGAACAATGAAAACAATGAATATTAATGAACAAAGTGGGATGCTCTGGTCAAATACAGAACAATGAAAACAATGAATATTAATGAACAAAGTGGGATGCTCTGGTCAAATACAGAACAATGAAAACAATGAATATTAATGGATAAAGTGGGACATTCTGGTCAAATTCAGAACAATGAAAACAATGAATATTAATGAACAAAGTGGGATGCTCTGGTCAAATACAATGCCATGATTGACTTTGAATTCAGTCATTTTGGCAACAGATTTTGACATCTATCTACTACTGAAATTCAATGTTGTTTAAGCTCCCAATGTTTTTGCTCATTTTCCCTATTGCTCATCTTTCAATTTTGTTTACTAACTTTGCAGAGTATGACATTTAAATCAAATAAATATACAGTAAAACTTGTGTATAGTGAACATTTCTTTGGCAAGAAAAAATGTTCACTGTTCGTTGGTGTTCACTACAGCAAGGATTTTATTTCGGGGCATTCTGCCGTATTATATAAAGGAACCAGTTATTTAGCAAGGCTAAAAGAGAGGAGGAAATAATTAGTTTCAAGGTATCAATGTTTCATTGGTTAACCAAAAGAGCTTGGGATTTATTGGAAAGGAGAGAAAATGGAATGCGGACATGGCATTTTATTTCGACAACATTGTGAAACAATTTTAAAGTGAACGTTTTAAACTGAGGACTGTATCATTTTTATAATTCCAACTTAACAATTTTACACTCTTGTTTATATAATATGTATACACAACTTATACTACAAACATGAGAGTGTGCTATTTTAAAATCGTGTCTAAATAAATAATCATAACAAAATAAACATTGGAATAAGAGACTTACCCCTTTGGTTACACCCAGAGACTGGACATTCCCAGGGTAGAAACTCGGAGTGAAATTGTCTCAGATGCGTCATTGCAGGCTTACGTCCTCCAACCCTCTCTCGACAGTGAACACACACATGGATCTTTTTGTGACCTAAGATAATTTGATATCAAGTTAAACTTATTATTTAATTTAAAATTACCAAATACTGTACATGCATGATAATTCCAACATAGGATATATGCATTTTGAATTATGCAGTGACTTTCTCAACATAGAAGTGAAATTTTGAAATGAAGAATAAATGGAAAATTAATGCATTGGATTCATATTACTATTACTGTTATTTGGGACTCAACTGGTCACTCAGTAAAATGTTTTAAAAATTCATTTTGCTAATATGAGTCTTTCAATAATTGATAAAACATATGCAATGTTGATGTGAATAAGTCAATTAAGGAGGCTATCAAAATGATTAACCAACGAATCCTTGTCATGTATATGAAAGGTAAATATGAGACATTAAATGAAATATACCGAATTGATATGAGTTATGAAATATTCATAGACCCCCAATCCACACTCTGAAATCACGGTACAGTACAGTACATTTAGAGTATGGTATCATATGGTAGAGTTTGAGCATGTTACCATACAGACTACAAAGTTAACGGTACTGTACAGTAGTACTGTTTTAGTCAACGGTACTATATGGATCCAAAGTACCGTAGCTTAAACTGTATGGTACTGTTAAAATTGGCTGTGTAGAATTACATGTATGTACGTTTACCTTGCTTGAATATAGTGAAGGTACCATACAGTACTGTTTTAGTCAATGGTACTATATGGTTCCACATAGGGGTCAAACGGTTCAAAATTCCAACGGTTCAGTTCGGTCACGGTTTTTAGGTTCACGGTTCGGTTCTTTCGGTTCTCGCAGGTCTCGTAAATTGGTAATATTTCCTTATAAAATTGTAAAGACAGCTCATAAAAAAACAGGTTTTAGCTTTCTTTCTAGCCTTGCCCAAGTTGGTCACTTTCTGGTCCCACTATCCTTTTTTATTAAATTGACTTGACAAAGCAAAGTTTATTGGCCTAGTGGCCCACTTTAAATTTTAAACTTTAGATTTTTCTGTCCTTGATAAGATTAACTGTTTGACCCCTAGTTCCACAGTACCGTAGCTTAAACTGTATGGTACCGTTAAAGATTGGCTGTGTAGAATTACATGTATGTAAGTTTACCTTGCTTGAATATAGTGAAGCTGCTATCTATAGAAAGTTCTGGATATTCCTTTATTTCGTCTTTCAGTTTGTCGATGTACTCATCCTTAAACTTCAGTCTCTCTGATTCTCGAACCCTCAGGGCAGATTTCTTGCGAACTGAAATGTTAAGATAATGTGTATTTTTCAGCAACATTATACTCCTGATTTTTAATTTCAATTTTAAGCAAATATATTTTCCCGGTGTTTTGATTACAAAGACAACACCCAAATTGGGTATACATTCAGATACTTAACTCTGTAATGAACTTTTTCACAAAAATGTAATGTTTATTTATTGTTATAATAAAAGCACAACATTTTTGAAGAAATACCTATTTCAAATCGATGTCTGAAAAGTTAGGTACAGTGCAATATAATGTGTATTGTCAGAGGCATAGCCAACTAAAATAATTCAAAGAGGATATCATACTCTCATGGTTCCTGGTTTGTAACTATCACAATTTTAGTCACAAATAAATTCTGCAAAATTTAGATGATCATGAAATAAACTTACATTTCTTAACTGTATCTGTAGCATCAGAGCCTAAATAGGAGTAACTCTCTTCCTCAACTTTTCCAGTACGCACTTCAAGAATCTAGAACGCAACAGACAATATATTAAATAACAAGGCATAACATGCAGAATGTCACCACCTGCCATTTGTTACAGTCACCAAACTCCAAACATAGACAACTGAACATCCAACACCGAATGCCAACCACCATCCACAAAAAATTGGAAAATTTTCACAGAAATTGGAGAGCTTTTACAATATGCCACCACTTAACTCTGATCCTGAAATACACTTTAAAGTAAAAATAAAACAGATCGACATATAACGAGAACTATATATGATAACCGTTTCTGTATATAACTAGCTCACCATGAGTACAACATTTGTGGGGACAAAACTAAGAATTTGTGAGAGCCTTGATTACAATCAGGATAAAAACCTCCCATTTCATAACCCTAATAGTCTTGCTTCAAGACCCTGGACATCCCCTCCCCCCTATCTACTGTGTTGTTTTGGAGAAGTAGATAAGGGGAAAATCCACAGCCTTGAAGGAAGACTATAACCCTAATAATTATTTCTAACCTTGTTATTCTCATCCAATATCAATATATAAGACTCCTCCTCCGTTGCCTTGGTAACAGCCTGGCCTGTGGGATCCATCATAACAATGTGACAATCACGGGGAAGGGTCTCACTGGTGACTACCACAGAATCACTGACAGCTGGTAAACTCCTCACATCTTCTATCCTGACAGCTAAGCCATTCTTATCTGAAAAAACACATATTATTTCATACACAGTAAAGCCTGTGAACTGAAACATCTATATACAGTAAAACTTGTCTTAGTGAACACCTCTCTCTCTAGTGAACACCTGTCTCTAATGTTCAAACTTTACTGATGTCTGTATTAATTACCCTCTCTGCAGTGAACACCTAGAAAAACATAACTTTTTTCTTGGCAAAGAAATGTTCAATATACACAGGTTATACTGGATATACAACACGATATAAACAACTTACCCGAGGAAGTAGTGCTACTATCTTCTGCAGTTTTATTTCCATCCTTTGATTTGTTGTCTCCATCTCCTTTAGAAGAGTTATCTGTTGTTTTAGCAGCTTCTCCCTCAGGAGCAGTGTCTCCTTTGGGAGCAGAGTTTCCTTGTTGTTCCTTCATCAACATAACATCAGTAAGCATCTCCAGGGCACTCCCTTCATGAAGCTGTTTTCCTGTCCTACTAGATTTCCTTAAAATGAAATAGTTCAATATTAAAGGAGATCAGATATATAGGGGGTGACAAAATTGCAAGCAACATGTACAATTGACTTACCAATCTATTCCTTACAATCTCAAATAAAATATTATATCTCCCAAAAAATTCAAACAATGTTCCAAATTGGTAAATAGCGTCCATCTTAAAAATGTTTTTCTTCTGACAAAGCTCTTTTGTCCCAAGGTATCAACATATAAAATTTGAAACTAAATCCATCCACTAGTATTTGAGTTATCATACAGAAAATTCTAAAAAATTGAACAAAATTGAAGAAACCATCTTGAAAATTTCTTCTCAAACAAAGTTCCTTTGTCCCTAGGCATCAGCATATAAAATTTGAACCAAATCAAAATTTGAGTTATCAAAGATTACACTTTTAACAAAAAATGGTAGTTTCATTCATCAACAAGTTCTTCGTCTTTTAAGATGCTTTTAAAACAACATTAAACATACCGTATGGTGTTTGTTGTGGTTGCATCATTGTTTGTTGGGGTTACATCTCTGGTTGTTATGGTGACACTAGTGTTTGTTGTGGCAGTACCCTTGGAGATTGTTGTGGGGTCACTGGTTGCTATAGAAACACTGGGTGGATCACTTGTTTGAGCTGTAATAGTACTGTTGTCGAGAAACTCCTCTTTCAGTTCTTTATCACCTAAGGGTAATATTGATTACTTCACATCATTTTCTTTTAAATTCTTCATTACTGTTACATTACAGTCAGAGCAGGGTGCTGCAGATAACTTACTTTGCCACTATTTATTTTGGAGAATTTTTCCATTTTTTCATATTGGCTGTTTTGTTCAAAGTGTGTCTGATTTAACCCCTCTAATGTCTGACATTATCTTCCCCTACTTAAAATGACCTACCTTTCTGCTTTACATTGGGATTCTGTGTATTTTCATCATCGGGAGAGAGGTTTTGAATCTCAACAGTATATCCCAAGTCACTAACAATATTGCCTTCAGCATTTCTATCATCATAATACTTCTCTTGCTCCTCAGCATCATCATCATCATCATCAGCTTTATGGGATTCTCTCTTATTCTTTATGCGGTGAGACGTCCGTACTCCAGTCACCGTATCCAGAGCACTCCCTCTGTTAAGAGGTTTGCTTGTCCTTCTAGACTTCCTTAAAATGAAACAAGACATTAACATGGAAAATGTCATCACCTGCCATTTGTTACAGTTGCCAACCACCAAATCCCAAAGGCCAAACACCAAATAGAATCCATAATAAAGTTGGAGACTATAACAATATGTCACTACTTGTGGTTGTGGTGGTGACATAATAATCCAAAATAAGGTTGGCCCTGGCCCAACAATCAGAGATTTAATCTCTAGATGTTCAACAAAAGTTAAGTTTTTTGGCTAATAATCCAGGGGAGGGTTTCTTAAATTTGGTTTAAAGATATTTTATAGTGTAGTATCATACATCTATAGGCCCACTGTTTTAAATGAGATTACATGAGACATACCTTTTGGTTTTTGTTGGGGTTACAACATTATTTGTTGGGGTTACATCTCTGGTTGTTATGGTGACACTATTGTTTGTTGTGGCAGTACCCTTGGCTATTGCTGTGGGGTCACTGGTTGCTATAGAAACACTGGGTGGATTACATGGCTTAAGGTTACTTGGGCTTGGTTCGATGAGAAATTTTTCTATATTACTGTAAGGAATGTTGACATCACAATGTTCTTCTATGACATCACTTTTGGCATCATTGGTTGCTTTTGTGGCATCACGCATTGCTGCTTTGATAGCACTGATGTCGACAAACACCTCTCTTTGTTCTGTATCACCTAAAGGTAGTATTCATTAATTTACATGACATTATTTATTTTACATTACTGTTGGAGCAGAATGTTTGTATGTAATTACTAATACTATCACATGTTACAGTTCACTTAATTGATTCACTGGGCACATTATTTAATCCATAATGAAAAATGTTCCCGCTACACTACCTGAATATAACTTTTAAATTTTGACATTTTGGTGGCCAATGTGGCACAATCACAAGAAAAAGTTAGCAAAAGTTTTCTGATGATGTTGTTGTCTGTAGGTCAAGAAAATGTCAAAATTGAGATTTTTTGGAGGTAGTATAGTGAGAACATTTTTCTTATGGTTATGACACAGTTGTCGAAATATGGAAGTATGGGAAGAGAGAGGAAAGAGCACCAACAAAAAGCATCAAAAACATAGCACAAGAACAAAATCATCTGAAAGAAACCCCAAAATAATGACTGGAACTAATGTCTAACATCACCTTCCCTTACCCAAAATAGCCTCATCTCTAATCTGACCTGAATTTAGATTTTAAACATTTATTATTGAAATGACCTACCTTTCTGTTGTACATTGGTGCTCTGTGTATTTTCATCATCAGAAGAAAGATTGTGGATCTCAACAGTATATCCCAAGTCAGTGACAATATTGCCTTCAGCATTTCTATCATCATGATACTTCTGTTCTTCTTCTTTTTGCTTGTCCTCACTGGCAGCTGTATGGGGTTCTCTCTTCTTCTTCAAGCGCTGAGACTTCCGCACTGGTGGGGAACTTTTCTCTGCAATACATTTTTTTTTATTTTTCATTCAGAATAAATTGTAAAATCAAATCTATTTCTATTTGCATCAATTACTCCATAGTATATATTTTTACATGGTATATTTTTATATACTAGTATTGCATATCTGTACAATATCTTTCAATGTATGTTTTATTTCAGTTATCTTTGGCATTTTAATCAATAGTCATGTTTAATCAAGTTTGACTTTCGTCTGATTAGGTTTCAAAACATTCAGTGGTTAATTATGCATTCAATGGTTGATTACGCATTCAATGGTTCATTTTGCATCCAATGGTTGTTTATGCACATTGAGCTGATACTCTTATCTCAACAAAGAATAATGGATCATGAACTTTATTAAAATTACCAATATTTAAAAATACCTGAAAGTTGTAAAGCATCAGTATACTTTCGCTTTCTCTGTGTTTCAGCTTGAACTTTTGTGTCCTTACTCTGGGCAGAGTCTGTATTTTTCCCCATTTCTTCTGCAAAGGGGTTTTGCAAATGATGTGGTGCCTCTCTGAAAGGATAAAATAGGCAGGTTAAGTTACATGCATTTAGAAGAACTTGAACGTAAACATGTAATATTATGACCTCCGGAAATTCAGCTGTCCACCTCTCAACTGGTTTAAGCGGGGACCTTAATTACAACTACATGTATTTTCTTCATATCTTCATACTACTGTACTCCGGGTAAATTTCGACGCTATAAAATTTCGCGATTTTCCAAAATTGCAATTTCGGGGCTATTTAATTTCGCGGATTTGAGTTGATGACATTTCGCGGATTGCACATATTGAATTTTTTGAATGAAACATATCAAAAGTCCCGGGTCAAATTCCCGGGGATTTAAAAGACAAATTTCGCGACGATAAATGTTCGCGATTTTACTACATTCGCGAACAAAGCAAAATTAATTCGCACGCGAACAATACCCTGAGTACAGTATATTGGACAAATAAAGGCCAGTGATTTGAAAGTAGTCTGACTATGATTTTACATGTTTCATGTACACATTTTTCAAGAGTACAAAATTAACCTCCCTAATAATGGATGCAATAAACCAGTGTATGTCAAATGCATTAATTGCCTCCAAATATTATTCTGCTTGGGAGGTGTTCATCTAATAGAAGTCGGTTTTAGGGGACTAATATCTAAAGATAAAACTCTTATTCGATAGATAAGTTCATATGGTTAAAATAACGAAATAATGAAATGTTACCGTGTGTCTACTTAGCAGTTTGTTCTATGTCATCCCTCCTGCTAGGTTACATTGTGGAACTGAGGCAAACATAACGCTGAAGGCAGTATTCTGAGGTTATAAAATCTAAATCTTAAAAATTTCCCATTTGCAGCCCCTTTGAGATTTCTGGAATTGAACAAAGTATGAATCAATAGATCAATACGCAGACTAAAATTACAATTTCAGCAGTTTCGTTGAAAAAATGATTTGGAATACCCAGTCACAGTCAGAGAGAATGTTCTGGCGAAAGGAGATTCTGGGATTTCAAAGGACGGGTGTCATTAAGAGCCCTTTTTAGCCCCCAAAGATATCTGATAATAATGCATATCATATTGAAGAAAAATCATTTGTGCTTTATAAAAATACAATTTCAGCAAATTTTGACCTTTGATGTTCACACAACAGTCATTTAAAGATCATATACCATTTTTGGTGTTTTTACAAAAAATTCTTTATTTATTGTTGTCTAAGTCAATAGTATGTAAATATTAACCAATTTAAATATATTAAAATGTAATATATGAAATACTGAAGAAAAGATACAATTAAAATTATTTTCATGGAAAGCACTTAGGGCAATATTGACAAAATGCAAATGCTATTTTGGTAGGTTCTGGGCTAGCAATGGGTACATTTCAACTGTGACTGTAATGGATTACTATTGACTTTTATCAACATCACAGGGCAATATTTAAGCAACTTAAATACAAGGAAAATCAAAGATTTCCTCTCATTTCTAAAACGAGGAACAAAAGCATGAATTCAAGGAAAATAAATGATGGCCTGTGCCAATTATATAACATATGAGAAAGTTGTGGCACAGTAAAGGATATGTATAGGATATCATATGATTTTAAATGATTTTATCTTTATCTCCGAGTTGATATCAATATATTGCCAAGTTAGCATAGCGAATTAGCGCAGATATTGGTATCAATGAGTTGGATTAAGACAATATCACGAAAATGCATAGGATGTTCTATTTTTCCCATAGTTCACCTCTAAAACTAAACAAAGCATATCAAAACAACATCCATTCATTCATTCATCCCCGTGATGTCATGAAATCACTATGTAACAAAACACATCATATTGGTGGTAGTTTTCAAATCCCTGCCAAAAGGTGATATCTGTGAAATATTTTCCGTATTCCACAGATATCACTTTTTCCACGCATTTGCAAAATATCATAAATATGTTTTTATGTTACCTAACAGAGCGGAACAGAGTTCAACTATGGGATAAAGAATAAAAAATAGGTACATAATTGAATTACCACTCCAAAAATATTAAATATGAGGGTTTTAAGAAAGAATATTGAATATGAGATTCAAAAAGACAAGTGGCCTCATGTCTCACGTTACCCAAACCCCAGATCCTTGATATCATATATACTTGTCAGAGGTGGCGTTAACGCAATTTTTTACGTTTTTTACTCACATTTTTGCAACTCTGACGCAAATATTCATTGTCTACCGAGTCTTTCTGACGCACGTTTGTTTCACATGCAAAATCCCCGCTTGGTACTTGGTTAAATTGATCCCTATACGTGAAAATACGTGATTGATCAAATTTATAATTTTGCTAATTCCGGAAATCTAACATTTCGTTCAGCGCAATCGAGCCTCCTTCCTACCGATCATTTTCTTATTTCGGTATTTCATATAATTTTTAAAGCCCTGTGATTCAGATTCAATGATAAACTTGAAAACATTGATCGATCCCTCCATTTGTTTATCTCGTGTGCTAGGGGGCGTATCAAAAATGCAATAAAACGAACATAACATTGAACAATAATTTATTAATTTCATACTCCCTTCTAAGGATTTTAGTGATCGTATATTTATCTAAATTACCGCATAAAATCTTTCCTTGAATGTTCAGACGCTAGATTTACGAACCTTTAGTTTCCTTCGCAAGTTCGCAAAATTCCTTCGCTAAGTTAGCAAGTTTCCTTGAGCCGTCCCCTTCATCAGCATGCGCAGATGTAATGCGCAGTAGGTTTATCAATGGTGCTCACAGTGACCGATCTATCGTAAGTTTTCACCAAGTATTTTCAATTAACTCCCTCAAGTTAAGATCTTCGATTCACTAGATCTGAAGCTGATCCTATGAAGATAGATAATGGGCACATGAAAATCCAGTCGATCGCACATTAAGGGGGGTAATGATGATAAATTAGGTATGAAAACAAATCTACTTTCGGTTTCATTTTATAATTACAAGATTCTACCGTATTCAATTTAAATGATGCCCAGTATTGTGGTCGGACTTATATTGCCGTTTTAGACTTTGGAATGATTGCAAAAATGTTGAATTTCAACATGAAACGCTTTGACCCCAATTTGTGTAACTCCACACAGGGAGAAACTCCTCTCCCACTCCATTCACACCCATGACTCGCTGGACCAGATAATCAGATGATTAATAGTGACATTTTTCTTGCAATTGCCTAATTAATTAATTGTTAGTTGTTAATGTGCTATAAGAGTACAATAAAAGGTATGCACAAAATCAAAAAATAGATTTTGTATGTGGTTTCTACATTTTGTATGCATTTTTACTCAAGAAAAACACTTTTATAGCTTTGACTCAACTTTTTTTCTTGTGACTCACTTTTTTGAAACTACCTGAGTCATGATGACTCACAAAAATATATGCCTACCGCCACCGCTGCTTGTATACTGTATATCAATGTTATTTACTGGGAGGATTAAATATGGAGTGTACAGCAATGGTCAATACGATATTTCCAGATGGATATTTTTCCCTAGAAGCGGAACCCAAACTCAGTCATGACATAGAAGCTAACTTTTGCAATTAATAGAAACTTGTTTTTTATTATATTTTTGTGTTCTATATTTGAGATGAAATAATATGAGATTCATTTCTACAAGAGGATGGAACGAATGTGAACTTGTATATTGAACTATACTCCTTTTCTGATTAAACAGAACAACATTTTATCCAAGCCAATTAAGAAAACCAAGGCCAATGAGTGTAATTTATGCCCAGTTAAACTAACACAATAACAACTTTTTGTCTGGACTCACTTATTATGTAAGAATGAATTGTATTACTGTTTACTGCATTAAATGTCAAGTATACTATCTGTATTTAATTTCAAATGCCTATCTCACTTATCGAAGGTATACAAGAAATGTTATTTTGAAACAAATTCAGCACAACCAAAACCATGTCCACATAATATGACAAATCCAAGATGGCTGCCACAATTTTAGATCCATGGACATGTGAAGAAGTTAGAAATACACATGGTCCACAAGTTTCATCCCCAATAAAATGGGAAGTTTAAGGTTTTCACACATATCAACTCTATTCCTATATACTTTATATTTGTGGTAAGGCTTGTGATCTAGGTAAACTTAGCATGTTCATGTACCTCCTATCTTCTGAAGCTAAAAACAGAAATAGTGACTTCAATTGAGAAAAATGAATCTTATGGGCTCCATATACATTTTGAGTGGCTGTTCGGCTTCAGTTAGATAGTACTGATAATCTGAGATTGAAAATTATGTCAAGTTTAGTCCTCAGCCTCTCATAACGGATAACTTCGAGGTAATTGTGTTGTTACTGCAAAAACCTCTATTTCTTCATCACAAATCTACCATCTTTTGCATCTGTCAAAACCCCTCATTTCATTATAATTTTCAGACTTTTGCTTGTGCCATCATTAAATATATATATTCAACTTGTTATTCAGAATATTTTAAGAACTTTTCATGAATTTTTTTATTTTCACACTTTTGAAAAAATGACTAAGTCAGAGAATGGCCTCTTAATGGCATGTCCCCTTTGGGAAGTTGGGAAACCAGAATGTGTTACCTTTTTTAATTCCCGAATCTCTCCGAAATTAGCTCATCTTGGTGACTGTAAATTGCACAGCTGTATTCAATGGAGTCTTGTCATATTCAATCAGCCTCAATTTTAAAGTGTATATTTTATTTTTAACGTGATTTCATCGTTTTTTGTCGACTGGTAGAATCCGCTGGGCAAATGGCAAGGTAGATGACCCTTGACCTCACCTTGACCGATGGTGATCACGTCATCAATATTACCAAAATGGCGGTTTCAAAATTTTCTAAAATCGCTTCAAATAATATTATGTTAATTCCAGTGTTTTTCCTAAGCGTCGGACCATAGGACATCTCCGGTGATGTGGGCTTCGGACTGATGAGTTTTATCAAGTAGCCAGTCCTCAATTCTGCCTGTGTCTGGTTCCTCATCTAAAATCATTTCTTTACTCCCAAATTTGGTCCGATCGCTGTCTGAAATCTCATTATATCTACGGTAAAACCTTGAAATTCTAAAAATCATTTTAGTGAAATTGGCTGCACGGGGGGATGTTTATATACGTATCATCATTTTCTTATCAGCATCAAACAGAAACTGTTCTCTGATTGGTTGATTAGACTCTTGGGTAATCATCTCGATTTTTTTAACGCGTGAGGTTTTATTGGCTTATTCAAATCGGATGCGGTAAAAAACCGAACGCCAATTTGCGAACGATCCGGGTATTACGTTCGCCCTTGGTTTATCTTTCGGTATCATTGCAAAATCTGATCGCTGATTGGTTGGTTAATTTTGTCATATATTGGATCAGTTTCGAGATTCCCATGATTATTACGCCTGTTTATCAGGGCTATCGTGAAACCGTATTCGTAAGCATGCAGACCTCATGGTGAGCCACGAGTGATGGCACGTGAATTTTAGTTGATCGACCAATCAAAAGCATTTTCAAAACGATAGAATTATGCGCATGCGCATTAATAATGTAAACTTTAAAGTTAATTTTTTGATGATTTTTTCGGAAATTTCGTCAGAATTCAATATAATTTGCAGTTAAGTGTACGCTGAGAAGTAGGTCACCTTTAACATGTATAAAAACATGCGATTATGGGCTGATTTGAAACTGAATTCGCAAGAAATTCGCTCTAAAATGTGTTACTTTCATTTCTCACTTAGTCTTGGACTGGTTAGTTTTCACACGGACCGGTGATTAAACTGAAGTTACAGGTCCGAATGTCCGATGAGTTTTGGTATGGACTGGCCAAAATGTAGAACCTGTCAGTCAGGTGGTCCTGTGATGTATTTTGCCTTAGGAAAAACACTGGTTAATTCCTAGCGAGTAAACATATTTCATAGTTTGCTTTTTCACAATAAGATAACGAAATGTGTAAGGAATTCGCTTTTATCAATTAAAACATCACATCGACATGTGGTATTCGTAAACTAGACGATGAAGATAACGAAAGCGGGGGTTTTGCAATGACGTCATTTCTGGAAAGAAATTCTCAACGAGCTGCATAGCAACCGAGGAATAAACAATTACCGATCGCTAAAGATCAGTCCCTTGCGAAATCCTGAGTAATTACTTATTTCTACGGTTCATTACGAATCAATCTATAATTATCTTACGAATGAATTCTTCTTACATTAGAAATTAACATCTCATAAAATATGTCGAATTTAATCGGTAGGAAACAAGAAAAAATACATTTTTAATGACCATTTTTTAAAGTAGGTCAAATTTTTTAGAAGGGTAAACTTCCCGGGAATTTTAAGATTGTCACGTCTTGTTTGAAAACGAGAACGAGACTTGTGCCAAAAGTCCATCTTTTTAGTCAGTCGAAATGTTCAAAGTATATTTAGTATTATAATCGCATTCCAGAACAATTTAGGAAACAATACTTTCCATCTAGGTTGATCACAGCATCTGAGGTACGTTAATTTATATGAACAACTGAGTCAATACGGATAAATAGCCCAACGAGAGTCGGCGGTCTTGAAAAATACTTGGATCTGGATGCCAGTCCTGTTAATAATTGATATCTTATCTCATTCGAAGAACGTATTAGATGTCCATGTACCCAGTGACTTTAGCAGCCCTTCCTACAAAATGCTTGCAAAATGGACGATCTAAATTTCCAAAAATTTTGCTAAGATCAATATCGACATGTTGTTGCCTTCTTTGTCGTGTTTTGCTGCGGTCCACAATGTAACCTAGCAGGAGAGATGACATAGAACGAACTGCTCAGTAGACACATATTTGAACATTTCATTATTTCGTTATTTTAACCATATGAACTTATCTATAAAATAAGTGTTTTATCTCTTAACCTAGCCAATTATGGGGTACGTGTCATGCATTTGCTTTGATATTTTTCATCTCTATCCAAGTGTTCCAGGTTGACAGGCCTGATCTATCAGTATCAAATCAATCAAAGAAAAGCAATAATTATAAGGATATTTCACTTGGAACCTCTGTAACAACCTACGATTCTGTTTAGTCGAAGCGACCTACAATAAATGTTAAAAATTTCGAAAAAAAATATGAATATTTTTCATTTTGAGTTTTGAAATTTTACTCAAGAAAATGAGTCTCGTAGACCTTCAAATACTCTATGCACACGTCTTAATATAGACTACCACACAAACGTGAATATGTAAATGTAATCTAATTGAAAATCTCTTGATTAGACGTGAATTTAACCATTAATTACGGGTAATTTTGTTTAGTTTCAGAACTCACCTATTATCGCCCAAGCAGCTCCAAATGGCAACTTATTATTGCTGAAACGAAATCATTTAATGATTCTCAGGTAGCCAAGGTCGTTGTCATGGACGCAATAACATGTAAACATTAAGGTGTGGACAGACAGGTTGATTGTTAACGTGGATATATAGTGGATTAAACTCCAGATTATCCCTAATTAATAACCAGGTATGTGAAATATGTGTTTAATGTACTTGTAACTAATTGATTCTATTTTATTGGGTGTTAAAGTGACTTGCAGTGTCATCCTGTTCAACAGAAACATTTACAAAGGTCATTTAAATGCACTTGGTAATTTCCAAGCCAGTGTACTTCTTGGTACATAACTTAGATAAAATCAAGATGACACAGAAGGAAACATTTCCAAAACACTACAGTCAAGAGAAATAAGTTATTGGTTACCATACCAACAATAATTCTCTATTTGCTTTAGATTTAAAAAAGATGGGCATTTATTATTTTAACATGACTGTGTTTGTGAATCAGTGATTCATCCATGAATTAACATACTAATATACTCATCCCAAGATTCAACATATGTAATTGTTTTTGAACAATTTGGTTTACTCTATTGATCAGACAGTCAGAACTTGAATTGGTTAACCCATAGGCCCATGGTTAACCTTCATCAATGATAACGCTGCATGTTAATCACTGGCGGAATTGGGGGGGGGGGGGCTTGTGAGACCTTGTTTTATAATTTCAGTCCAAATTTTGAAGAAAATGGGCCTCGAAATAACAAAATTTGGGCCCACTTTTCAGTTTTAGGGGAAGTTTAGCGGAAGTTTTTTTCTCTGACCTGAAATTTTGCCCCCCCCCTTGTTGGTTCCCAGATCTGTCCCTGTTAATATAATGAGTTTATCATAATGTGTTTTCAAGGGTTTGATGTTTTCTTATGTCGGGATATCAGCTTTTTCATTATCTAGATGCATTTATATAACAGTAATAGAAGATTGATCATTTCATCTCATGGATTGAATAAATAATAAGAAAAACACATTGTAGATGAACATTTAGAATAATATTTCAAAACCAAATCCCAGCCAGTAGATCATATTATTTAATGAAACTTTTTTATTTCCAGTCACCCATAGTTCACATCACCAGCATCACCATGGAGATTGACCCACATGTCAACGAGCATTTCTATACAACAAACAGTACCTATGGCAACTGGAAAGGATCTCCAAGTCAAGTTTTGACAACATTCACTAAGGCAGGACTACAGGCGCCATCTAGCTACACACATATCCCCACCAGGGGGCCTTTAACAAACATCGGCACAAAACTCCATCCAAATGCCGAATCAGTCCCCTTTCCCATGTCCAATATCGAGGTCCGTAATGACTTCATAAAGGGACATGGCGCTCTTACAAACACAGGCACAGATTTGTACTCTGACGTCCAAGGTCTCTGGTCAAACAGCAACTTTAACTCCCCACATGCTAAACTTGATCGTGGAGAATACACTTATTCCAATCTCCAAGGAGCATGGGCCAGGGTTGGCCCAGATATATACCGCTCAACCCATCCAGGTTGGAGCTATAACCGCTGGGAGGACCCCCCTTCAAGGACAATCCCTCAAAAATTCCAAGACAGAGACTTTAAACCACACGGTTCAACCATTCAGTCTCATCGCGATACACAACCTGATCCCAGAATGATGAACTCCAATACAAGGGGAGTAATTGGAACAGCCAGAGGAAGTATGCAGTTCCCAAAAGCCCCTATGTCACAAGAGGAGGTGTTCAAATTAAGGAGGTCACATCATGTTTATGGGTATATGACCCATGATGACTGGTACTAATCAAACTGATTGAAAATATCACATTGTCTTGCCTTTTCAAGCCTGATTATGAAATGAGAGGGTTAAACATGGATAAGTTAAGGTAGGCAAAGACAAAGAACTTTTGCATGATGTCCAAGTAAAATGTCCAACTTAATTAGTGGAAATCCTACCAATCTGCTTACCTAATTCCTGAGATAAAAATAAACAGAAATGTGTCTCCTAAAAGTCTTAAGGTGGACAAAGTGTACAAAATTTTGAGACAAGTACATGCACAATATTGTCACACTGTCTGCCTTAATATCAAAAGAGTAAGCAGCCAAATAATTTGCTCTCTTAAGGTGGGCAACTTTGAACCATATTTATACATGACAATTATTGTACACAAAAATGTGGTTTACTATCTTAAGGAGGGCAGTGTCTTAACTTTTCAGACATAGTCAAATCTCTCATTTAGAATATAATTGGCTTGAAAAAGGCATTACTCAAATGAGATATTACAAACGAAGATTGGTAAAATTGTGATACATACACATAGTGTTATGTATTGCTACTTGTAAATAGCACAACCCTGATTGTTCCAGCACAATCATCCTATGGCACAACCAGAGCACAACCATTTGTAGTGTCATTTAATAAATATTTAATTATCAAGAATATGAAATAGATTTTCAGTGGTTGTGAACTGGTGTTGTCTAGGTAGGCCTTAATGATACCCAAAATTAAAGCCTATATTATATATAGTATACTTGTAAAGTGCCAAATCTACAATATCTGATTCGAATTTAAATTGTTAACAGTAGAACCTGTTCAAGTTAAATTCAATATATTTATCACTTTTATTGAAACATTGCATTCTTAAAAAATCTAGTTTTTGCAAACTGGACATTCAGACATTGTATGACTTTGAATCATTTGAGAGGTTTTCTTGCAAAACAGGTTTTACTGAATAACTTTTTTTATTTATTTTTTAGTATGATAAAGAAAACACAATAAAAATATGATAATTTACTTACATATTTTTGTTTATTTTATTGACATAAGTACAAATCATTGACATTTGCGTTGTATTAAAGACTTTAAAAAAAGTTAAATCTCAGTTGACGGGTTGTACAATAATTGTAGTATTCCGTTATATTGTACATTTACAATAAATCATTGCATTATAGCATTATATTGTATATTGTACAATGTTCAGTGATGCTATTTCACAATACAACAGGTAAGTACAATTAGTTTGTACAAAAGGATGACAATTGTTCAATTCAATTAAATGGGTAATTGTTCAACATAATGATAATTGTCCAACATTATGATAATGATTCAACATAATGATAACTAATCCACATTATTTGTGCAATATAATGATAACATATTGTTCAATAAAAGCAAAAAAACATCAAAATACAAATACAATGCACATAATAACACACAGATATGAATGGCAAACATTCTAGCAATTAAAACATCATAAAAAAACATCATTAGCACATTTTTTGAGGGTGAACTCATTTTTGAGTATAGACTCATTTGACACACATGGGTGCTATGTACATATATGATATAAACACATAATTAAACTTCATTGTATACAAACTATACATATAACTAAAATTACTGTGATACTTAGGGACCAAGTCAATATGGTAATTTATTTGAAAAGTGTTGCTTTATGAGGGATGAGATACCCCTTCCATTCCCTCTTAAGCTAAATGATACTGCAATGGCATCAGAAACATGAATTGAATTTCAAAGTTTTCACTTTTTCATCTCTCTTCCTTCATTCTTTTAATTTCTAACTTGAAACACTATGAAAAAAAGTCTCACCCCTCCCCCACAAAAAGAAAAATACTTTTGAATTAAACTGATACACCAATGTTTGACCTAACCCCTTACTTTATATTTTACTTGTTAAATAATGACAACATTCAGGCCCGTAGCCAGGATTTGCCAAGGGGGGGGGGATCACTTTGGAAAAATTCCAGGGGGGATTCACTTGTGACAATTTTGGTCAAAAAATGGCCAAAATCACTTAAAAAGTGCTCAGAATGGTGAAAAACTGCATGATTTTGAAAGATTTTTGGCCCCCTGGCTACAGGCCTGGCATTTTAATTTACATGACTAAAACTATTCAGTATCAGGTACAGCAGTTATAATTCAATAATACACATATCATCAATGGTTAAAAAAGTATGTTTACTTTTCTATTACAAATAAATACAAGAACACAAATGTGTACAAAATGTCCCCACCAAGTGGTGATCCCGTGAAATGGTTATCCTGAAAATGAGTAGACAAGACTTTACCAACACAATTTGAGGACGGAAAATCCAAAGTGGCCACCTTAAAATTTACCCAGAATGCCAAAAATTTAGTCAGTTCTAGATTTTCATACTAAGAACCACCCCTGAAAATTTGAAATTGATCCGTCACACAGTTAACCAGAAAACATGTAAACAAGACTTTACAGACAAGATTTCAGGATGGAAAATCCAAAACGGCTGCCTTGACATTTACCAAGAATGTCAAAAAACTAATCAGTTTGTAGATTTTCATACTAAGAATCATCCCTGAAAATATGAAATTGATCTACCAAACGGTTCACCTGAAAACGGGTAGACAAGACTTTACAGACAAGATTTTAGGACAGAAAATCCAAAATGGCTGCCTTAACATTTACGCAGAATGCAAAAAAAGTAATCAGATGTAGATTTTCATACAAAGAATCATCCCTGAAAATTTGAAATTGATCTATCAAACCGTTCTCCTAAAAACGCGTAGACAAGACTTTACAGGCAAGATTTTAAGACGGAAAATCCAAAATGGCTGCCTTGACATTTACCCAGAATGCAAAAAAACTAATCAGTTCTAGATTTTCATACTAAGAATCATTCCTGAAAATTTGAAATTGATCTACGAAACAGTTCACCTGAAAACGAGTAGACAAGACTTTACAGACAAGATTTTAGGACGGAAAATCCAAAATGGCTGCCTTGACATTTACCCAGAATGCCAAAAAACTAATGAGATCTAGATTTTTATACTAAGAATCATCCCTGAAAATTTGAAATTGATCCACCAAACGGTTCACCTGAAAACGCGCAGACAAGACTTCACAGACAAGATTTTAGGACCGAAAAATCCAAAATGGCCGACAATAAAAAAGTCCTTATGAGTTTTTGCTGATTTCTTTTTACAAAATTATCACATATAACTACTGTTAACAATAAAGTAGGCTTGTACAGCAAAGTACATCTGAAATTATTTATAAAGCTACTAAATAGTTAAAGTATGAAAACTCAAAAACACCATTCAATATGATACAAAGTATTATCGCGCGCTAACTTTTCTTAAGACATTCAAAATGGCTGACATGACTGAGCTAGCAGGTCCAAAACCTAATCAGATCTAGAATGAAGTGAGCTGAACAAGATGTTAAAGTTTTAAAAGCAACTGTGAAGCAGTTTTTCTTAAAGTTTGCAGACAAGGATTTTAGCATTCGACTTCAAAATGGCCGACAGGAAGTAGGTATCGAGTTAATTTTTTTTCATCCACATCTGTATGCACTCATAAGTTATCCCTGAAAATTTGAAGGTGATATCTGTAGCGGTTTTGGAGAAAACTGCCGGACGTACGGACAGACGGACAGACAGACGGACAGACAGACGGACAGACAGACGGACGGACGGACGCGCCTAGGCCGACAATATGGCCCCACACTATGTGGTGGGGACATAAAAATATAACTTACATTTAAAAAACATAATAGGTTATGGGCTAGCTCTTAAATTGCGGTATGGAGGTAGAATTTTGGAGACCATGTTAGTTACATCCTAATTTGTAATTTTCACCACAATTTGGCAATAATTAAGCAAAATTTTACAGCGTTTGGGAAAAAATCAATATTTATACCCCCCACATGACAAAAGTAGGGGGTACATAGAAAATAATTAATAACTTCACAAAAACATTATGAATAACCAAAATTTTTTCAGAATATATGCACATATATATCATTGATAACTGGTATAAAATTGGTGACTATAGGTATGATGGTTGCTTTGGAAACAGAATTTGATTGCCAAAATTTGCTAATTTATGTCTATTTTTGGGGGCTAGTCAACGAAAAAATCCTATGTTAGCAAGCTATGCTGCAAAAATAGCATTGTTTTAAGGTTTAGAAAACTGCATATGTATGTCTTGCATGCACTAAAATTGGAATGATGATTGAGTCTCAATCAAAAATATTTTTAAATTTTTTTTCTATGACCCACCCCCTCTAAATAATCCAAAGTAGGCGTGGCATTTAACTGAATGATCAAGCCTACTTAACAGTAGATAACTTCAATTGTATAGCCAGTATTTTCACAATTTAAACAGAAGGTATGATTCTGGTATCAGTTAACACTTTCTATGATTTTTTTATCCCCCCTCAATATTTGTAACCTCTCTCCCTCCTCCTCCACCCCTCCCGCATGACAAAAGTAGGGAATACATTGAAATTCATGAATAACTTTACTACAATGCAACGAATAACCACCAATTTTTCAGACAGAATAAATGTATATGTCATCAGTAATTTGAAATAATACTTGATGGTTCTATAGAAACAGGATTTGATTGTTGTGAATATGTGTAGATTGGGTGGGGGGGCCTAGTTCATAAAGAATCATATCCAAGTAAATTATGCTGCAAAATACCATTGTTTTAGGTTTAGGAACTGTCTCCTACATACATTAAAACTGAAATAATAATAGGGTGTCATTCACAGATAATTTTTTTGATGAGATTATAATAATAGGTGACATTAACAAAATTTGATTTAGAGGCAGAAAAGAAGGTTTATAATATTGCCTGGTCCTTTAATTTTTCACTGCAATGCTTTCATTAGATTGGGGACATTCCATACCCTTTTGTGCTGTGGGAAAATATATGAGATTAAGGGTTCGAGGACATACTAATAGAATCTAAGATAGGCCTATATGCAGTTCAATTGATGGTAGTGGAAAAAATTTCAACAAAGCCTTAAGAGTTCATAAAGTCATGAATGAGGAATTGGAATCCTTGTTGATGTCAAAATTCCATGAATCTGGAGGGTATTCAGCTTACTTATCGTATGATCTGAAGCCCTCTGATTGGTCAGTTCTTGTGCTGTACCAATCTGTATTGCTACTGAGATTGTCCTCATTGATCATCTCTGTAACAACACAAAAATATTGGTAGGGACAATCTCAGTAGCAATACAGAATATTTCATAGGAATTACCTCCTGAGTAAAATGTATTGGCTTAAGACCACACGATAAAAACGTTATAGAATGATTTGAGGTGCAATACAAGATATATTCTGCTCTTGATATTATGTATTGGCACTCGACTTTTTCTCGTTCCAACAGAGAATTTCTCGAGCAGAATATATACTGTATTGCATTTCAAATCATCCAATAACTTATATTACTGCTACTTCAACTAAAGCCTTAGTTAAGATTGAAAACAATGAGTTATCACAAAGTACCAAACATTCAAGAATGACATGAAGAACGGAAAATGATAAGCAATAGCTCCTAACACTGGGTGGATTTTTTGACTTGAGTAAATGCTGGAAGTCCTGATGATATGCATAGGAGTCTGTGATCAAATGGCTTGATAAACACCACTAATCTGCACTTTTGGTACATTAATAGTACCGTACAGTACCATTCTAATATGGTGCTGCACAGTGTCCATGGTACCGTACAATACTATTTTAGTCTATTGAACCATATATTACCGTACCATATAGCCCAAACGGTACCATATGAAACTGAGATACACAACTGTATGTAATTTTGCAGTACTGTTGCCTGTGAAGCTGACCAATAGACGTGGACTGTTATCTTCATCAATGATCATCATAAACAACATGTTTGGGACTGAATCTTTTTATACCAATAAGGAACTTTACCTGTTGATTGTTGGTTGTATTGTTGAGGTTTTGATTTGGTTTTGATTTGTACCTACCCCATGACCTCCTTTCATAATACATCCCCCATCATCTGGCTAAGATTTGACACCAGGAAATACGGTATCTACGCTAAGCAATGCCAGAAGATATATTATATTGTAGCCGGCATGGTTCTGATGATCAAAAGTGATGAAGAGATGTATGAGGGAACAAGAGTAGCAAAGTAGACATGTAGATTGTTTTCTTTTGTTGCTCTTAAGAAAATCTACAAGTCTACATGAATTCACGAAAGGACCGCAAGTTGAATTGGGGGAGTTTTTTCATGCATTTCTCTTAATACGCTTTAAAACATTTTATTGACTATTGTTTTGGTTTATATCACAACCCAATGAGGTGTGTATTAATTTTTCACTTTCCTGTTATCTCAAAATCTGCTTGGATACTATAGGATTGCGATGGGAAATTTCTCAAAGAGAAAATTCTAGGGAATAAGAAATGGGTACCATTTACACAATTTGAGAAATTATTGGCATACATTAAACCTATTTTAAAACAGCATAGGTAATCCTTGAAAAAGAGAACTTTGTTTGGGGGATTATATGGTGTAGTCTTATAGTCAATAAAATGGTGTACTGATGTTTTTAAGATAAAAAACACAAGCAAAATTCATGAAAAACTCCCCCGATTCATTCTACAAACAGCATGCGGTCCTTTGCTTGACAATCGAATCCTTTACATTCTGTAGAAATGTTGAACTATTAAGTAGATTTGATCATACAGTATTGTCATGCTCACTTTGGATTATAATGAGGGAGTAGGTCATAGTGAAATCTAAAAAATCTAATTGAAACCCAATCATCATTTCAGTTTAATGCATGCAGGACATACATATGCAGTTTACTAAACCTTAAAACTGCTAATTTTGAAGCAGAATCCGCTAGCATAGTATTCTTTGTGAACCACCCCCCCTCCCAATATCTTCACAAATTCACAAATTTTGACGTTTAAATCCTGTTTTGAAACTATCATACCTATAATTACCAAGAATTTTTCCAATTACTGATGACATATACATTTATTGTCTGAAAAATTGGTGGTTATTCGCTGCATTGTTGTAAAGTTATTAACCATTTTCAAGGTATCCCCTACTTTTGTCACACGGGAGGGGTGGTAGTGACGAAGGAGGGATTGTAAATATTGAGAGGGATAAACAAAATCATATAAACTGGTAACTGATACCAGAATCCTACATTCTGTTGAAATTGTGATGAATACAGGCTATACAATTGAAGTTATCTACTGTTAAGTAGGTTTGATCATTTAGTTAAATGCCACGCCCACTTTGGATTATTTAGAGGGGGTGGGTCATAGAAAAAAAATTTAAAAATATTTTTGATTGAGACTCAACCATCATTCCAATTTTGCATGCAGGACATATATATGCAGTTTTCCAGACCTTAAAACAATACTATTTTTTCAGCATAACTTGCTAACATAGGATTTTTTCGTTGACTAGCCCTCCAAAATAGACACAAATGAGCAAATTTTGACAATCAAATTTTGTTTCCATAGCAACCATCATACCTATTGTCGCCAATTTTTTACCAGTTATCAATGACATATATGTGCATATATTCTGACAGAATTGTGGTTATTCATAATGTTTTTGTAAAGTTATTAATTATTTTCTATGTAACCCCTACTTTTGTCGTGCTGGGGGTATAAATATTGATTTTTTCCTAAACGCTGTAAAATTTTGCTTAATTATTGCCAAATCGGGGTGAGAATTACAAATTAGGATGTAACTAGCATGGTCTCCAAAATTCTACCTCCATACCGCAATTTAAGGGCTAGCCCATCACCTATAACTAACTATACATGCAATCTTCATTAAAATACATAAACATATAAAATACATTATCTACATTTATTACACCTACAGCAGTTTGATGTCAAAGTAATGCCTTAGTCACATTTGATCTACGTCAGCCGGATGGTGGCCGTTGCTTCCCAAAATTGAGAAAAATATGCAGCTAGGGACAAGAATAAGAAGTATGATGTATATTTTTTCTATATGACAATTTTTGGATAGCTATAGCCACCATACACCCGCCATAGAGCAAATGTGACTCAGGCTTTAAGCACTAAGTGAATAATTTACAGAGGTTTTTGTTTTGTGGGACTATACAAGTAAATTCCTGTTAAAAGATGTCACAAAGGTTCATTATCAAACTTTCATCAAGCCTCTCGTCTCCCTATCCAATATCTTGGTCCATAGTGAAATTGGGGGAGGGGAGCAGAGTTTGATACAGTGAATGAAAGAGGGGAATGACCCTGAATTCAAAGAGAAACTATCTGCATGAAAAGCGCGTGAACTCTAGGTTCACTTTTACACAATGTTTTACATGAGGTTCATCATTGAATTCTGGGTAATAACCCCTCTTATTGTGTAAATTGCTACCATAGTGACATCTTTATAATCCAGGCATAAAAGGCCTTTGGAAGCAAACAGCCCTTGATTCCACACCAACTACAATAACATTAAGGCCACATGAAGTTTAATTGTCTGTTTAGCAGATTATTCCTGAGAACAAACATGTGACTTTTTGTGGCTTTTTTCTTTCTGTTAATTTTAAACTTCAAATATTATTTCAAAGTGATATAATAAAAAACTAAAATGAAAAGATACGAAAAAGAAAATTCCTCTCACCAGGGAGGATAATGATGACCATGCAATCACTGCTAAACAGACACTCAATTTGTGATGGCCTCAGTGTGAAAATAATAACTTACACCAATTATATGTAAACAAATACACTGTTGTACATAAGTATGGAAACAAGAGATGATAAAAAATCTTCCAAAAGGCAATAATACTGTTTGTTTGGACAGAATAAATATTCAATACATTTCATTCCGGAGATAGTTACAATGCTTTAAGTTCCAAAATTGTATTTATATAGACAACACTAAAACTACAATACAGTTTTGTGCATAACTACAAAACATGACCAACATACTCTTCTCTCTTTAATCGTTTCTCAACCAATTTCATGTCATCATGTACTCAGCAGTTAGTTCAAATAAGTAAGTACAATGTATCCTAATATGGAGAGAATCCTTTGTATCTAAGGATATATCCTCCAAATTACTTAACATGTTTCACATGAAGAATCAATGCATACAAAATAACATACAAAACAAGGCACTCCATGGTAGTTTCAATGCTAAAATTTTGTTATTTGTTCTTGTCAGTCCAAATTTGGTCAAAATATGCCGTATGTACAATATTCAGGTGTGCAGTCCTATTTTCAACATCCTAAGTGGATGCAGTGCCCATTTGCTTCAATGCACACAAGACTTCTTGAACAATGTCTAACATGCATGATTTCATTGGTATTATTGAGTTTAACTCAAAATCAGTAACAGAAATCTTGCGTCCATTCCTCATCCACAACCTGTATTAATATCCTTTAATACAAACATCATGTACATATGAAAGTACATCAATCATGCGGGGATAAGAAATGAAGCAAGACAGACATTTCTCCACACTCTTATAGCATCAGTCTTCATGAAATAAGTTATCCTTTATAGTCTCTATCTATCGGAGTATCTATTCAGCTATCTCCCTATATTATAGCTACATCCACATATATTCAGCTTGTAGCTATCAAATGTATTTACTTTTGTGTTTGTTCGGCCATATACTTGTCCATATTTTAATTATAAAAGTACAGTTCACTTTTATAGCAGAATAACTTATAGCAGCCTATATAAAGTTTTAGTTGATGCAATTTGTTAAATGCCCTTCACAGCAAATAACATAATCCTTCACACGCACATATACATAGCTATACTTTGTCTTTTATCAAATCTCCAGACCCTCTTCCCTCCCCCTAAGGAGGTGAGGTGTTTGGGGGTGTCACAAGGGCTCGCATCTACCTTACGTCTAGTTAAACGTATTCAGCTATCCATCGCTGAACTTATACTTCCTGACTCTAGCTGCGTTACATGACAGGAAGGCACAGATCAACGCTAGAGCCCCGCCACCCATTGTCGTATAGTACGCCCAACCCATAGTACACGTACCTGAAATATATGAATTAGTTTTAGAAACAGGAAAATCAGTGTAAGTGTAGAAACAGAAAATACTTGAGTGTTGGTTCATTTCACTTAAGGTAAGTGTGCACGTTTTGAACTTTTATGCAATCCTCATTGGAGTCACATGTTACTTTCAAATGTGAACTCCTCCTTCCCCATAATGTGTACAACTTTTAATTGTTCACAAAGAGTGCACTAATGTACCTAGAAAAGAGTGCAGAGATGATTTTTTATAACATGTAAGAAAAAAATGAGAAAATTGAGTAATCTACTTTTTTGAACTTTTAAAAATAAATCACTGAAATTACTCATTTTTATACATTTTATAAAAAAATCTCTGGGTATTAGGGCACTTTTTGTGCAAAACTGAAAGATGTAGACGATGTGGGGAAGGAGAATTTCATATTTGAAAAGAACATGTGACTCTATGAGGATTGCATCAAAATGGCTGAAAGTGCACAATTACCCTAAAAGTGGCAGCAAGAGGGTGTAAAATTATGGTTCAATCTTTACAAAAATCCTGTCGCGTTTCCTCTACAATCGAAATTTCATTCTTTGAAGAAAGATATTTAGCTTTATATAGAAAAAAAGTATTATTTTACGTAGTGGATCTTAGAGGAAAGAACAAATCTGGGTATAATTTGTTACCTAGATGATAGATGGCAGCAGTATCTCCACATGCTTGTTTCACTTCTCTAGTGTCCCAGCCCATTGGATAGATGGCAGCACCTCCTGCCACTAGAAGACCTGTAAACACAGTAGTAAAAATATTGTACATCTGGTATTTATATATTTTACTTTTTTTGTTTGTTTTATTTGTTAAAGGATCACTGCATGAAGGTGCATGATTCATAATTTTTTAAACAATATTTTTTTAAATAACAAGTACTTCAAAAAACATATTTTTGAAATAAAAAAAACTTTCACTCATCACATTATCATAATACCGCAGGTAAGACTGTAATATAAACCATAACAATAACAGAGAAAGTTTTGGTAACCCTTTTGGTGTTTTTACATTGACTCATGTAAATTATAATTTGCCCTTTTAAGTCAATTGTAAGGATCCAAGTCTTATATTAGAGAGATAATTTGCTGATTGTATGAATTGTCAGTTAATGCAAAACACAGAATGAAATCCTGTGCTTAGGGGGCTGATGTGAAAAAGTCAGTCCACCCCATTGGGGACTGAACCCACAACCCCTGCTCTGGATGATACAAAGCGTGTTGATACTGTACGTAGTACCTAATTTATTGTACAGGACATTAAATGGGTATGTGTATTTTTGAAACTCTTCATAAAAAAAGATGGCGCCATAATCAAACCATCATTATATTTCAAGTTGCACTTCTACCCTCACATAGAAAATATATATGATATGTAGTCATTAATGCAGGTCCATAGCCAGGGCCCCCCTTGCCAAAAAATCTTTCAAAATCACGCAGTTTTTCACCATTCTGAGATATTTTTAAGTGATTTGGCCATTTTTGGACCAAAATTGTCACAAATGAATCCCTCCTGGAATTTTTCAAAAAGTGAACCCCCCTTGGCAAATCCTGGCTAAGGGCCTTTTAATGGGTCTGAAAGTTCACTGAATTATAAACAAGATCTTAATACACACAGGTAATGTAAAGGGCTTGTCACTGGTATAACCTCTCTCGACAAAATGTTTGTCTATTTTATAAAATGAAACTTTAACAAAAAACGATGCAATCCAAACAGGTTAAAAAGTGCAACTTCGAAATCCACCTGCATGAGGAATTATTGATTTTGTGGTTAAAAATTAAACATTGCATTAACCTCTTTGCACTCACTGTAGACTTTTTTAATGAAATATACTTTAAAGAGCAATTCTGCCACCCACTATGTAATTCATTTATAAAAGCTCTTTAAAAATCTGAAAACTTTTCAGATACAACTTATAATTTTTAAAAACAACTTTCGTTAAATTGTTTTCATCAAAACCAAAGGTGTAAAGTGAAAAGGTAAATTATAGGCTATATATCTGGTACTGGTCTGATATGAGAGTTGCATGATTGAGAATTTTAATTAATTTCTAAAAAATTAAGAATAAAAAAACAGTGATATTTTTCAAAGTAAGAAGCAGATATTTACGTGTTATGGTAGAATGCATAGTTCAATATGAAAATATTTTGTTAAATTATATTTAAATGACATTTCAAAAAATCTTTTTTTCAATATTTTCTGAAAGTGTGGATCTACATTTACATGCATTGTTCAAAGTACATATCACTTAACTTTGTATGACATTTGTTTGACATATGATATAATTTCGAAGTCACATGATTGTAGATTAATTGGTACAAATGTTTTTTGTGAGATAAAAAAACAAGAATAAACTGATATAGTAAACTTGACATGTGATAAAGTTTTTGTTTTATATTAATGAGAATCATTGTGATATTAGCCTTGCCCAAGTCGGTATTTTTTATCTGATTTTGAGTTATTAGAAATCAAGATAAGTATAAAAAAGGCTGACTTGGGCAAGGCTTATGTGATATGTTTGACTTGCATTCTTCTTTGCTCTCAAAAGGGAGTCAAAAGGGGGTCTCCAAGGAACTCATTTGTCATTTTCTGGGAAACTTCAAAGATTTCAGTAAATCAGCATGATCAGTAGCTTAGATTCAAGAAAAAATACCCTTTTTAATCCTAGAAATACATATTTTTTAAGATTGGTAATTCAAATTAATAGGAGATCTAGAGAGTAATCTTAGTACAATGGGGAATGAAGTGTTTTTGTCAATCAAATAGTTTTTTTTTCACCTGACCATCCTTCCTGAGTCAGGGGTCTCACTGTCTAAGTCTCGGTCAAATTTCTTAAAATAGTCAAAATTAATGAAAAGAACAGCCAAACTTCTAAGAAATTATAACTTTAAAATGGAAATGGTCGCAAAGTTAAGAATAAGATAACAAATATTCTACTTTAAAAGTAAAGTGATTTAAAAAAAATAGTTTAGGAAAATGATTTCTAAAAGAATCATTGTAAATATTTGAATGAGATGTATTTTGATGGGGTCAATATCTTAAGATAAAGTCAATGTTCTTAATAGGGGGTCCCACACATTAAAGGCAATCCATCTTTTTAACTTGTATATTTTACTTGTTTATCACTTTAACACAAATACCATGTGATTTATAACACATCTCACTGAAAGAAATCAGAAAGTGTGAAATTTGATGTTTCAATAAGAGCATCCAATGGATAAAATACAAGAAAAGCGTGTGATTTTTAGTGAATAAAACCTCACAATAAAACATTGCTTTATTAAGGAAACTGGGATAGTTAAAGTGCACCCTTTTAAAGATCTAATTTTGTATCTTTAAAGAGAACTTGAATGTCTTCATTAACAGTTACTGTGAAAAAAATATTACTTAGGTACAGGGCCAAGTTAGTTAAATTGCTATGAGTAAAAGTGGTAATCTTGAGTAACAAGAAAATCAAGTGAAAATGACACTAGAAAAATACGAAGGCCATAAGGCTATTTTGACAAAACTGATCTACTTTTTATGAAAATACCACAGAGAAAGACAATGAACAAACTACATGTAACTGCTTTTTTTCTGTTGGTTAGGTAACATATTAATGACGTCACAAATTAAAATATAATAAACACTGTGATGTGTGCCGTTTAGCTTTCTTGTCTGTTTAGTTGATAGGGCAATAAGTAACTGACGTCATAGTTTATGTTATATTACGTCATATCTTCATCACAAACACAACACATGACGTTGTGATCGTTGCTTTGATGATTTGCCATATAAGGTAATAATGGCGGACTTTTGGTCACGTGAATGGTCGACAGTCGGTCCATAGAACGAATGGCTCTGCCCACTTCGTGGGGGGCCTTCGTAAAAATGGTAACATTAAGGTACTGATGGTACCAGTAAATAACATTGTGCAGTTACAACAATCTTTTCAAAAATGTTTTCGTTACACCAGTACCTTAAGCAAGGTGGAATTTGAACTAACAAGGACAAAAAAGTCCTAATAATCATATTTAACATAATAATAGCAAAAGAGATTTGAACCAGTGAGGAACAAAGTTTATAACAGAAATGCACTCAACATTCTAAATTGTCTCATCCAATCTTTGAGTGAAATGAGTGGAATCAGCAAGGAATAAAGTAACCAGACATATGACCAAAACTCTAAGTTATGCAGAAAAGCAGGAAAATCAGACACTTCATTCAAATTTCAGAGAGAAATGGATCAAAAAATCCATGAGCAGAGTGACATTTCGGTCACCTGTTGAGATATCAATGAAAGTATCTCATGTCAAGCTGCCTTGCGGTTAACCACAATCTCATATCTTTATTTACACAGTTTAGTTGAAAAAAGATATTGCAACATTAAATAATGAATATATCTATATGTGTCTACATTGAATCATGATAAATGCTATAAACCTCCCACTATCTTAAACTTTTCATTTTTAAGTACATAGGATGGTTAAGTCTTTGTAAAGTATGGTTTATGACCGGCCTCCACCCATTAAGCCCCTTGTTTGCCACCTGCACCCCCCCTTCCACCTAGTACAAAATGTATCTTCTTATCAATAGTTTGAATTCATACACTCCTCTAAGTCTAATATTTCAATTCAGTGTTCTACACAGGATATTTTCTCAAGTGGGTGCAAAATTCTCATTTTCACAATTCAGGCCAAACTTGGTCCAAAATGTGCCAATTTTCCATGATTTTTCACATGTTCAAGTGGGTGCACATGGATTCTCAAGTGGGTGCATGCAATTTTTAAAATATCAGGTGGGTGCTACGCCCACTTGCTTTAATGCTGGGGAGATCACTGTAATTACATTAGCAATTTCAATTTAAATATCTTTTAGTAAATTAGTAATCATGATACCATATTTTATATACAGTACTGAGACTGAACTAGTAAAATAATTTTTTTTGTTGTTTAAAAACTACTTCTTATCTACCTTGCCCTGTCTCATTTACCTGAATGCTAATTCATTTTGACTTTGAAACCCACAATTTTACTGCCATTTGAAAACTACTTCTTATCTATCTTGCCCTGTCTCATTTATCTGAAATCTTAATTCATTTAGACTCATGAAACTCAACCTGATTTCAGAGTGCTCAGTCATCCTTTCTTCATCATGTGCCTTGATTTTATATCCTGCTGATTTCAAATATTAATCTTGACTCAAAAAATTTAAGTTTTTTACAATTCCTTTGGTTTCAACTTCTTGTTAACCTTGACTTAAAATAGATGCTTTTTACAATCAAAAACATTGTGGATTCAGATTCTAGAGAATGTTTATGTTTTTTAAATAACCTAAGGTTGCATTGGTGAGCAATGGGGCCAACCTTTTCCTAAAATGTCCATCTGCTAGATCATGCTTATTTCACTCAAATTCTCTCTAAAATTTGAATAAAGTAATAGATTATTAGGCATTTTTATATAATTTAGAATCTTCACAACATGCCCATTTACTTTATTCCTTGCTGAATCCATACTTTTTCACTTTATTCTGCATTTCAAACATGACCCCTGTGATTCCATGCCAAACCATGCCAAACTCTAGAGATTTTATAATGGCCATTTTTCTGTCAAAATTACAGAAAAATGGAGGAAAATTCCGGAGAAATAAACTTTACAAGTATGGAGCTGTCATTCTAAATCATAGAAGATGAACAGAAAATCAGCCAATTTATTCGGGTTTTTATGAAAAAATCAAGAAAAAAGCATGATTTCTAGAATAT